TGACACATCAGTCAAATCATGCAATTACTGCCTAGTAAATTGATGCCTTAGTCCTTCAAAGTCTGACGAAGATGTATAGCTAGTAATATACATACATCCTTGATCCCTTGCTGTTACCCAAAATAATGTTGATTTTCATCTCGCGCAAAAGTGACTAAAGCCCTCAAAATCCTAGCTTAAACCCTGCTGTTGAGCTTTTCTGGTACAAAATATCAAAAATATAGATAGGGTAGGTTGACTTTTGTCTTTCTTAGTGCGGCCACCTCAGTGAGTTTTTGACAAAATGATAGTGAGTTTATCAATATCAACAGGGAGTGCTAGTAAACTTTTTTCTCGTTTAACCATATGGTTGAGATTTGATGGTTTACCAGGCGTGACCATGCCCTGCTCGCACGATCGAAATTTGGCTCGAAACCCTTGTTTAGCATATTAGTTTTGGTCCTAAATTTAAATCTAACGCCTTTAAAAGCTGTAATCTTGTGATACTGTGATCCTGGCTGATTGTCAATTAAATGAATAAAACTTAATCTTCTTTATTTTTCAAACTATCCTTGTTTTCCAATGACCATATTTTTGTATAGCCTGGTATTCTCTTCCCATTTAATATAGGTTAAAAGATAATTAGCTCAAATGTAAACTTGACTCCAAATTTTATTACCCGAATGCTCCCGTAGTCACGCTTTTGATTTAGCTCATATGTCTTGCGCCTATTTACACATATGTACAACTGACCACACCTTTACTCGTTAAGATGTTACCTGATAATGAATACTTTAAAATAAAATATTGTGATACTAACGATCTTGTACGATAGATAATTTAGCTAATCTGCAATCAATTCCATCTTCATGCCTTATATATCATGTACTGTGTTACAACTCTAGATTCTACTGACGAGGAAAGGTAACACTAGGATACCGAAAGCTGAATTTTGTTCAGTCTAGGTGGCCGAGTGGTTTAGAGCTGTGATAATAATGTATATAAAAGTGTGTTTATGTATTGGATATTGTGTATATAATAATTGTAGTGTGTATATATGAGGTATGATCAATAAAGATAAAAAAGCAGGACACATTAAATAGGTTAAAAATATTACAGAATATCTATAAAAAAAACACACACACAACAATATTTAGAAAAAAGGGGGAGTCCATTCCTCAAGCTCCTGTCGCCAGTGATTGCTTATTTATTTAGTATTTTGTCATTTTGTCAAGCATTTAAAAATGTATTTTCTTAAAAAAAAAATGGACGAACAAAAAAGATTGAGTCTAAAGATTACTCCGATCCCTTTTGAAGAAGGGACTGTGGGAACTTATAAAATCTGAGTACATGTAGTCTCTGTGTTACACAAAAAAGTTCAAGGTCATTTGAGATTCAGGCAACCTTTTGTTTTCTTTATCCACAAAAAGTTGGAAAATAACATATTAATAATATTCTGTTTACCATTTTCATTTGTTTCTCACTTGTTGTCGAGTATCGAGTTGCGAGTTACAAAAGTCGAGTTGCTAGTTACGAAAGTCGAGTTGCGAGTTACGAAAGTCGAGTTGCGAGTTACGAAGGTCGAGTTGCGAGTTACGAAAGTCGAGTTGCGAGTTACGAAATTAGATTTGCGAGAAAATGGGGGAAAACTATTTTAATATTTTGGTGTACCTCGTTAACATTTTTGAATGATGATTACTTATAGAATTGTATACAGTATTGTTGATTCTTTTTATTGTTTGGACTTCATCTGAGTCTCGTGTAAAAAATGAATGGATTGCTTACATAATCACTTCGCAAAGTATGGTTATTTTCTGAAGAAACAGATAGCCTTTTGAAATACAGCGGATGGCTTGTAGATTTTAAATCATTATTAAATTTCATAGCTAGCACCGTCATAATAAACGTAAAGGGAGATAGCAACTAAACTATAGTACATGGTATATGTAAATAAAGGCAACAGTAGTATACCGCTGTTCGAAACTCATAAATCGATAGAGATAAAAACAAATCCGGGTTACAAACTAAAACTGAGAGAAACGCATCAAATATAAGAGGAGAACAACGACACAACAAAAACACGACATTAAAAATGTAACACACACAGAAACGAACTATAATATAACAATGGTCATTTTCCTGACTTGGTACAGGACATTTTAAGAAAAAAATGGTGGGTTGAACCTGGTTTTGTGGCATGCCAAACCTCCCGCTTTAATGGCAACGTCAAACACAACACCAAAACGACAACATCACATGACAGGACCACAATACAAATAAATGGGAGAACATATAGGACAAAGAAACACACGAATAATAGCTAACAAAAGGTACTAGGCTTAAAATTCAATACGCCAGACGTGCGTCTCGTCCACACAAGACCATCCAGTGACGCTCAGATGAAAAAAGCTTGAAAGCCAAAACAAGTACAAAGCCGAAGAGCACCGAGGACCAAAACTTCCAAAAAGTTGCGCCCAACACGGCCAGGGTTTTCTGCCTGGGACAAGAACATCCTTATTATATAGAATAATTTATAATTTTGCAAACAGTAAATTTTATAAAATGACTATATAATAGATATACATGATAAAACCGAAGTGGGGACTAACAACAGAATAAAAGACCCCTTCTGCAGATTTCGTTAAGAGTGGACACTTTGGTGCAGCTGCAGAGGCAATATTTGTTAGGGACCCCAAAATTTATTCTTTGGCAGTGACACTCAAAATTGTGGACGTTTAAGCTATATATGTCTACATTGGCTATAGTGGTGAAGGGGGGAGGTTGAGCGCTCATAAAACCTGTTTAACCCCGCCGCATTTTTGCGTCTGTCCTAAGTCAGGAACCTCCAGCCTTTGTTGGTCTTGTATATTTTTAATTTTGGTTCATCTATATGTTTCGGAGCATAGAATGGCGTCCATTTTCTTGATCTAGTGTACATTGTGTTTCTGGGCCTGCTCGGGGCTACCTCTGGGTGTGGGATTTCTCGCTGTGTTGAAGACTCGTTGGTGGCCTTGGGTTGACTTGTGTATTTTGGTTGAGTTGTTGTCTCTTTGACACATTTCCCGTTTCCATTCTTTATTCTATACATGAAGCTGTCAAAGATACTTTTGTAAAAGAGACAAAAGACGCAGTTTTGGAATATGTTATTTCTTTCTAAAAACCGGGTTAATCATACAAAAATGTACAATACCCAGCTGATATCTGAAACTACAACATTTGTATCAAGGCTGCATGCAGGTAAAAAAGTAAACTTGTGACAGACAAGGCTTCCGTGTTCATACCGTAAAAACACACGCCATAACATTCCTTAAAACTTTTCCTTTATTTTTTGTAACAGCGGTATAGCTTATTGTAGAATAACGTCTTCCCAAATAAAAAAAATCCATATTATGATCTCCTATGCCAAGAATTTACCATTATGCCATAGAAAGACATCTGTAGCATGCTTATTTTTGCGTTGTAGTATTCAGATATACATACATTGAACAACTCGGTTGTTAACTATTTGGTATGTATATGTACACTCTCCGCGCTTGGGGTTGAATCGCAAAGTTAACAAAGTTCAAAATTATTTAATTTATCACATAAAGCACATAGCATATCACATTTCTGACTAATTCATGAGATATTTTCCTAAGTTAAATGTGCAATTGTGCCTATATCAACCTAAACCTTTGCGAAAGACGAAGAGTTAGCACTTGGTATGCTAATGAATATCCTTTATTCAAGCGTCACTGATGAGTCTTGTATATACGAAACGTGCGTCTGGCGTAGAAAAAATTATAAATATTATAGACTCTAAAAAATAAGTATCACATCACTCTTTCTAATCCTGTAATCAAAATACCGGGACCCTTCTTCATGCAGTGTATAACTTAGTTCGGATACATGTATGCTTTGTTTATTAAATGCAAAGTAAACCTGAAAATTCTGTTTCAAAAATGAGACGACACGACCGTTTATATATACGACAGTTTATATATACTAGTATATAATTCTTAAGAAATTAGAGAAACATAATATTTTTGTAACTCGCAACTCGACCTTCGTAACTCGCAACTCGATCTTCGTAACTCGCAACTCGACTTTCGCAACTCCCAACTCGACTTTCGTAACCCCTAACTCGACTTTCGTAACTCGCAACTCGACTTTGTAACTCGCAACTCGGGCTTATCAACTAAAAATGTAAACATAACTCCATTTGTTATTGTAAGTGAAAGGGTTAATAATACATGTTAACTGGTACAATTTGTTGGCTCTTATTTTAGTACTTTCTAAAACTCTCATAAAGATTAGAAATACTTAAATTTACAATTTCTCTCAATGAATCATTTATCTAAAGATAATTTTTTGGAAATGTAAAGTGTTACTTTGTCAAAAGAATTATATTGGTCAAAGTAACATTTATCATAGTATAATTACATCTGATGTCATAATATTGATTTATGGTACAAATGGAGATAATCCAGGAAAAATGCACTTTAAATAATCTGTAAAAATTATCTATTCTTCTAAAATTAAGCATTCTGCTCTTGAAACATTATTAGTATTTTCTATATTTCCCTTTTTTATAAAGCCAAAAGTAAAACAAGCATACCAAAGTGTATTAATCAGAGAATATTTATACAAAAAAGGGGTTTCTTTCAATTCTTTTGAAAAATGTCTAAATTTGCAATTTCTGTCAACAAATGAAAAAAATTTAACCAGTATATGGTTTTGAAGTGTATTTTTCTTCAAAGATCATATATGTCATATATATATTTATCCTGTCTTCTCTGTAACCAACCAATTTATTAATTACAAAAATATTGTACTTGTAAAAAGTACAATTTCGTGTTGTGAAATGACCTACAGTTTACGGAAAATAACTAAATTTGTCCCTACTCTTCAAACTAGTAGCTTTGGAGCTACAAAAAGTTTTTTTGTAAGGGCGACCTCTGGTGCGGTTCACCTATGTATAGGAGTAAGCTAGTTATAAAGAGGGCAATTGAAATGTATATGCTCATTTCCTTCCCCTTCCTCGTTAGTATCCAAAGAAAAAGGCAAACAGACTATTTCAAGTTTATGTAACGCAAACTTTACTTGGTAAATATATAATAATGACATACAGTAACCTGCCGTTTTATCTAATAACTGAAGTGTTGCGTAAACACAGCAGACTGCTGATTTCTTCAGACAAATATTTACTTTATTTGTAAAAAATTCTGTTTTATTTGATCTGATTATGATGGAAAAATGCTGAATTTTCTGTAAATTAAACGAGCCTTGGGAAGATTTGTGTGGACATGAATCTGGGTCCATTCGTCCAAAATCACGTTTGCTCCCATTCATGTTCACCCCCTTTCTCGTTCACACGCCACACGTTTGCACCCTGGTTCGGTTCACACCCTTTTTATTGGTTTTGTGTTGAATACATTTTTAATCCTGATTAATATGTTTAAGTATATGTATAATTGTATTGCTATAAATCAGTTTTTTTTTTACTGTTTCCTCAAAATAAAATGATGTTCTCAAAATGTAAACAGGTTTCATTTAGTGTTTTATAAATCATTTTGACGAAACAAATCATTCATGAATAAAAGATTGTCATGAAGATTAAGGCAAAGTTCATTCATCTAAGACTTGTACTAGAAAGAAAGACGGAGGATACCAAATCTTCATTGAGTTTATTCATACAAAGCAGTACATGCAGTATTTACTTCAAAGCTAGTTATAACAACAGTCATGATTTTCAAACACAGAACAATAATACCAAATTTGGCTTTGTAAATACCAATTAACAGTAATCATACATAATTAACATTTAATAATAAGTCATCAAACACTGACAAACCACAAAAAAAAAATACTTCATTTGAAAATTCCAGAATTTTTATTAATGAAAATTTAGATATTTTGATAAATACATCAGTAAAAAGCATATAATGGTTCAACCAGTATTTGAATTGAAATAGGGGTCGAACGTGTTGGGTGCAAACGTGTAGGGTGTGAACTTGTATTGGAAGCAAACGGACCCGATATCTGTGGACATGACATCATTGCTTGATGACATCCTCGATTTTCATAGCCTAAAGGAGACCTTCCAAATTATAATTTTTCTATGAATTTTTCATTGACTTGATACCACTCATCTACTGTTACCTGTATGTTAACCTCTAAGATGTTCTTTAATAAAAAATTATTTTGTCTGATTTATATATATAGGACATTCTAGAAATTCACTTCCTAAAAGCCTGAATCTGATTTTTATATTACTATGGAATACAAATTATTTCTTTTGTTGGGAAGTATTACTGGTACAAATACTGGTGGGCTGCAGTGGAGAGAAATGATGAGAAGTAAATAGAAAACATTGTGTTACTTTAATGTAGAAACATTTCCAACTTTAAAATACTCAAGTTTAATTACAAAAAAGAACGTTGAAAGGCAAAAGACATTCAATAATTTTATATTTATATAAACTAAATATCTGTACATCAACATAGATTAAAAACTGCTTATAGTTGACTCTTCTTTGAGCTTCATTTTGCCAAGCAGTTCTACCTCCAGACTAGGGAAATAACCAGCTTAAATTATTCTTTTAAGAGTAAAATGAATGATTCCCAAAATAAGTTTCTTGACATGGATATTATGCAATTACTGTCTTTTGAAAAATTTGCAGTTTTATTGACCTTTTAATAACTGTCTAATATTCACAGAGGCTGATGTCAATTAAACCACATATTTACCGATCCAAAGACAGTAATTGTTTTGTTGCATATTCCGAGAAAAAAACAATATATTTAATGACAAATATTTACCAAAACCAATTGTACATCAAAAAATTTACCATAACCATGATAACGTTACATGTAAACGTGCATGACATTTAGCAGGGTGAATATCACTTTTCCCTAGGTGAATATGCTGTTTTATTCAATATCCAATCCATATATAGAAGCCTACTAAAATAATACCAATATGGAATAAACTATTACGGACATTTAACCCACTTTTTCTATATTACATATCAGTGTTCAAGCTAGGTCATTTTCACAGGGCGGTCCGCCTGCCCTTTCCTGAGTGCCACCCTGTGCCCTTTTTCTCAAGTCCATACCTTTATTGTCGTAATATTTTGATGAAAATACTATTATTCTACCTGTTTTCATATTGGTGACAGGTTTATTACCTTCAGCTAATTAAAACATTTACAGCAGGTGTACCGTTCCTACTCGCTTATTAGTCGGAAAATTGGGAGTAAAATTCATAATCCAGAGAGGGGGGCCGACTAATAGACGAGATCTAGCGACCAGAGGAAAAATCCAAGCTTGAGAAAAGTGGTCAGGAGTGAATTTCCTGGTCAAAACTACGTTTTTGATTGCCAAACCTACATAAATCAATAAATAAAAAGTTTTTTGTTGAAAATAAATGACTTCAATACTGTCTTTGTGTTTTATTTGTTCTTTGGTAAACATTTTCTGCAAATTCGTGTTGAAATTCTACTGTTTCCGGTTTGTGTATTGATTTTCATGGTCACATGGTTTTCCTATAAACCCAAAAGAAGAGCCAAGAACCAAAAATGAAAAGGAGATAACAATGTACCAAATATGTGAAAGGATGTTTTCAGCGGAGTTATTGTGTCATTATTGTGATATCATGATATCAATTCAATGCTTATAAATCATATAATAATCAAAAAATAATTTTAAGATTCATTCCCAAAATCAAAATATTATTCATTATAGTGTCTCAGGTAAACAAAAATTACAAAATTGATTGACAAGCCAATATAATCCATTGATAACCCCAATTAAGAGACAAAGAGTTGTATTCACTAAAGGTGTGAAAACTATCAGTGATAGGTAAACAGATGACACTAATGAGTTGGAGTTAGTTATTTTAATATATTGATTAGCTTCACTTAATTTTTTTAATCCTTTAATCATCACAATATAATAAGAATTATGAAGTGTACATGCTCATTTAACACCGAGTTTTGTATGCTGTGAAAAATATTTTCATCAAGTGTTGATTGACTTTAAATTTTTCAGGTTCATATTGGTTTATATTCGCTTTTCTCAAACAATAGGTTGTTAGTCATACCCTACAAAATCATTGATGCATTACGTAAACAACACATGGCTAATCTAACATTTGAACAGTGAACAAAACAAGAGAAATGAATACATCTTTATTATTAACAGCAATATAAATTATCATGATGAGCATCAACTAAATTCAAACCAAACAAACATTAATGCAGAAATGAATATTATTCCTGGATTTGCATTGGTTTTACCGGCGTTCAGTTACTGTCAGCTGAAAAAAAAATGCCCAAATTTTGTCCGACTTATACGAGGGTCAAGACTAAATCCTTAGAATTTGGAGCTGAAAAGGGACCCCGACTTATAGTAGGATCGACTATTAGGCGAGTATCTACGGTAATAAGTTGTGATTACAGATAATCCTCTTATCGCCATCGATGGGTCATTAATCCGTTAATTAAACCTTATAATTGACCATTGTAATTATTTTCCCATTAAATTCGGTCAGTCAGCATTTCAATTTTAATATTTCTCAAAAGACCACAATTTGCAGTTCATTTATCCATACTAAGATGTTTTTGTAGTTTCGTCATTTTTCAAAATTGTTCATTTTTAATAAATTTCATAATTTCTCAAACGATAACTTATTCCAGCTCGGTTGACGTAAATTCGTCTTTTGAACGTATTTTCGTCACATTTTATAAAATTTTTCATTGAAATCTTTTGACAATTTCGATTATAAAGAAAACTTCAATAATATTTTCACGATTCAAACATGTGCTTTCTTTATCATGAAACATGCATGCGTGAACGTATCTATATAAATAGACACTTAAATGTAAAATACAAAATCGTTTAGTATCAAATTAACCAGATAGACAAATATATTTTTTACTGAGCAACTGAATTTAAAAAAACGATAATTTCATGCCTTGACATTAAACATGAACCAATCCGTAGATAAATCCCTATTCAATCTAAATTTATTATCCTCTTGTCACTTCCTGTTTTCATTTCGCTTAAAAATCGAAAGTAATGTAAACATGATCTTCTCTTGATATATTTAAAATAGACAGTCTTTTTAATCATTCCAAGCTCATTAAAATGAATTTCAAATATCGATTTTAAAACGTTTCACAGGGATATTGATTATGCAGTGAAATAGTCGTTACAATTTCATTTATGCTGTAATTCCTTGCTTTGAAAAAGAGGAACCCGACTTTTGCTGATCAGGATGTCCCCTCAAAATAACTGATATTGTGAACTAAGTTTCTGGATCCTTTTTCTTATCTTCATATTTAAGCATTACACCAGTAGAATCATACCATGACTGCCTACATTGTAGCATGCCTAAGGCCGTCTAAGATCCTTGTCCTTGCAGGACTAGGGCATATGTATAGCTAGTAATATACATCCTTGGTCCCTTACTGTTACCCAAAATAAAGTTGATTTTCATCTAGCGTCAAAGTGACTAAACCCTCTCAAAACTCCGAGCTGAAATCCCTGCAGTTTACATAGGACAATGTTTGACATGCCCTTTTTGAAAATCAATCATCGTGCTAAAGTGCCCTTTTCATGATTGGCTCCCTGCCCTTTCGAAATCCTAGCTAGAACACTGCATATGTGTCTTTATAATATGTCAAGCGCTAAATCAATCTGGGAAAAGAAGTTGTGAATAAATTAAACAAAAGAATTCAAACTGCCCCAAGTCCAGACAGATGATATCAAATGTCGTAAGTCTAGTTATAAGATAACAAATTGTCCTAAGTCTAAACATAAGATATCAAATTGTCCTAAGTCTAGACACAAGATATCAAATTGTTGTAAGTCTAGACAGAAGACATCAAATTGTCCTAAATCATGTAAGTCTAGACATAAAGATATCAAATTGTCCCAAGTCCAGACAAAACATATATAGAACTGTCCTAAGTCTAAATAGAAGATATCAAATTGTCCAAAGTGTAAACAGAAGATATCAAATTTTCCTAAGTCTAGACAGAAGGTATCAAATTGTCCTAATCTAGACATAAGGTATCAAATTGTCCTCGGGCTAGACAGAAGGTATTAGATTGGTCTAAGTCTAAACATATGATATCAAACTGTCCTAAGTCTAGACAGAAGATATCAAATTGTCCTAAATCTAGATATAAGATATCAAATTGTTGGAAGTCTAGAAAGAAGATATCAAAATATCCAAGTCAAGACAGAAGATATCAAATTGTCCTAAGTCATGTAAGTCTAGACATAAAGATATCAAATTGTCCCAAGTCCAGACAGAACATATCAAAATTTTCCTAAATCTGAACAACATATATAGAACTGTCCTAAGTCTAAATAGAAGATATCAAATTGTACTAGTTGTAAACAGAATATATCAAATTTTCCTGAGTCTAGACAGAAGGTATCAAATTGTCCTCAGGCTAGACAGCAGGTATTAAGTTGGTCTAAGTCTATGCTTATGATATCAAATTGTCCTAAGTCTATCAGTCTAGATATAAGATATCAAACTGTCCTAAGTCTAGACAGAAGATATAAAATTGTCTTAAGTCTAAACATATTATATCAAATTGTCCTAATTCTAGACAGAAGATACCAAATTGTTCCCAATCTAGACTTAAATATAAAATGGTCTTCAGTCTAGAAATAATATATCAAATTGTTCTTAGTCTAGACAGATGATATAGATTGCCCTCAGTCTAGTCAGAAGATATCAAAATATCCAAAGTTTAGACATTATATATCAAATTGTCCTCAGTCTAGACAGAAGATATAAGATTGTCCTAAGTCTAAACAGTTTTTGAACCTATTAAGCATCCCTGTATTGAGGACAAAATATATAGATAGAATTACACAGTGACAGCTACAGTTTTTCAGGTAAAAAAATATGATTGAACTTTTCAAAAGTTTTGTTATATGTTCTCATCCTTCCTTTGTTATCTATTGATTTTAGAACAAAGAGTACAGAACATGTTTTTCTTTTTTTCAGTTTTATATGCGAATTAAATGATTAAAACCCTCCTGAGAACTACTTGTATAAATGGAAAAACTGTGCCAAGAAAACAAATTTCTAGATGTATTTTGAGGAGAGATGTAAACTTTAGCTGGTGTGCATCAAACAATGAACAACAAAGGCTATTCAGGGAGTTAAGATTACCTTTAGAATCACAGATTTCCCATCATGTGAGATTCCAATATTTTCTTTTCAAATTTGTGCATAATTTCCACACACCCGTAAAATGGAATAACAAATATATTGTCAGTTATGCCAAAGAAGGGACAACCAAATGCAAAAAATGTAAATCCAAGATAGAGAAAGGGGATTTAAGAGTTGGTAAAGAAGTGACCAATCCATTGTCCAAAGGAGTAGGAGATATGAAGCTGTGGTATCATCCAAGGTGTATGGTTGAAACATTTAAACTAACTACAACAATGATACAAAAGATGGAAGGATTTGGTGACCTTGAACAGGAGGATAAAGATAACCTTAATAAAATGATAAACGGTACGAGTCTTAAACATAAAACAGGTATAACAATAAAATAAGAAAGTTTTGCCAAAATAATCTTCAGAAAACACAATGAAACATGGTATTAAACAGCTTCATATTTTAGGACAGTTTTTCTAAAGGTAAATGGCTAAACTGATTTCTATTCATCGAGTTAATATTGAAATATGTTATAAAGGTCATCAACACTTGTAAAGCATGACATACAGTATACACAATCATGACAATGTGATTCAGGTAAAAATCACTCATTCTGATGTTGAGTGAATCACAGGCCTGAGGGATTGCTGGTGATTTTAGGAGGATAAAACAATGATATATAACCCTGTCAAATATTACATATGGATTGTACAGAACTGTACGTCACAATGTATCACCTACATTCACAAGCATTCACTGTGAAAGTCAATACATAGAGTGATTTTTAACCAAATCCCCCTTGTGACATGAGTGTACTGTACAGATTACCATTTCCCACATAAATGTAGAAGGTGCTTTGATAGTTTCCTAACATATGCATGATATTAAGCCATTTCCAATCAGGTAAAATTTATTACATTAAAAAACCTAATGAAAATGAAATGAACATACTTATACATTGATATATATTCAATAGAAAAACAAAGGATATGGGGTATCCATCCATGACACAAAATCAGTATATACAGAGCAAAAAAACACACACAGTTTATTTCAACCATTGTATTAACCATGTGGTAAATTCATTTTTTTTAATGCAAATTCATTTCAGTAGGGATGACACTTTAAAAACTTAACCAAATCAGCTTTAATAAAAAAAAAAATGCTGGACACTATTTTTTTCTTATGAATTCTAGAATGAACTAATGAAGAAAAGTTATTGATTTGTAATTTGAGTTATATTTTATTGTTGTTTCAGAATCCAAGTCTTCACTCAAGAAAACAGAAAGTTTGAAAACCATAAATAGTGCATTTAAGAAAAAGAAGACATTTAAGCCTACACAATTGTCTCCCAAAGTCTCAAACACTGTTTCTTCTTCCTCCTCTCCAACAGACTTACTGGCAGCTAACATAGAATTATCAACTTCTGATAGAGATGAAGGTTTGATTTAGATTTACAAAATGTACATTTAAAAAATTTCAGATTTTTATGTGAAAGTATATAGGGTTACCCATGTTAGTCCTTCTGATAGCAAACAGTGGTCTTTTTTTTGTCAGCATTTATTGATCTGATGATTTTTTGTTAATTTGTGTATGATAATGACTTTTAGGTCAAGTTTGCCTTTTACATGTTTGCGAGTTGACTGACTTTTCACAAATGGGCTACATGTTGGTTTTTGGATCGTAGCATGAGTTTCCCTTGATTGCTTGGAATAATATGTACACAGACAAAAGATATAGGGAAGGAGGAGCCTATTGATTTTGGGGCCAATAGGTCAAAGGTCAAGGTCACTGTTACTTAAGATATGTATAATTTAGTTAGTTTCAGGATGATATCCCCCTATAAATTGTAACACATTTATACAGGTTAAAAACTACCAAAAATAGTATATGTTTATATGCCCCTCCAAAACTAGTATTTTTAACCATTGAAATAAAAATGGGTAGTTCTGGGAGAATCAGTTTGCAGTGCTAGCATTTTACTTGTTTTAAAAATTATAGTCATGAACATACAATATCTCTTTCAGAGTCAATGTTTGCCTTTTTTTAAATTATGTGTGACAATCAGATATACATGTATATATATATATATAGATTCCGGAAAAGTTTAACAGAGGTAAGAATTAGAGAAAAAATTTAGAAGCTTAACAATCTTTGTTACTCTTTACACTTTTTACAAAACTTTTCGTTATGTATCAGACATAAATTACACTGATCATTGTTTATTTATAATTGCAGAACCACTTTACAGTAATATAGTGAATCCTGGGGATTCCTTAGAGAATTTCAGGAAGTTATGTGAAGACATTGCAGCAGAAAAAAGCTATCTGGTAAAAACACAGAAAGTTTCCACTTTGTTAAAGGAGGGTCCACATGGAGGTATTATCATGCACCACTCACTTTATCTTATACTGAAAGTGTATTTTTTTTATTGTTTGAATTTCACGATATCAAGGCTGTAAACATTTGAAAATTTTTAAATGATCAATTGTTTCGGTTAAAGAAAATTTTCACCAATTATTTCATCAGTGGTGTATTTGTGACGGATGTAGGTAATTTTCGTTAAAACTTGAAATTTTGCATAATTTGGCAACTGTTTTTGCTGAAACATTCTTTATATACCATATTCTTTACTTTTCAACCAAAATTTCAGTGGGTGAGGGTTGGTGTCCACAGTTACAATTGTCATATGTCATAGAGATGAGGAAATGAAAAATATGAAGTTTTTATTAGGGTTCATGGCTGTTGCTTTCAACTATCTTAATTGACTAGCCAGTTTTCCTACCAATGTTGTTTAAAGTGTTATAATTAAAGGATATACATATAGAATAAGGAGATGTGGTATGATTCCCAATATTAAAGACAACTATCCAAATGACTTGGATTTAAGCAACTTTAGATCACTGTACAGCCTTATCGTGTGTTGAATTTATCTTCAATAAGACACAGTCCCTAAGTATAGAGAGTTGACAACCAGGACAAAAATATGAAAATAGGTGCATGCCCTTTTTTGCAACTGTATCTCAATGACTTTAGAAAATTAGGTATGCAGAAATAAGTGGAACATAAGTCTTGCTTGTTATTAGTGTCCAACTCTTTGGTTATCCTTCAAAATAAAAGCATTTTGATTGGTTTGATGTAACAAAAGTTACTTCAAGGTAAAAACAATTATCATCAATTTGATGCCCTTTTCTTTTATCATGTTTATTACACATGTATATCACATAATGCTGCAATTAATCAATTTCAAATAAAGATCTAATAAGAAAAAATTGAAAAGGTGTGTCCTCTTTTTTCTCTGTCAGTATAAATACATATCTCAAGATGCAATGTTGATTTTTGTACATGCATGATGTATCGATATTACTACTTTTTTTTCACACTATTTCATTCTTTAGATTGATTTGTTTTATAGATGGATTTAAAGCTGATGCCTACCTGTGGTTGAAGTTGTTGTTACCAGGATTTGTGAAGCGTGTTTATAACCTCAAGAGTAAACAACTGGTAAAGTTATTCAGTCGGGTAAGATATAGAATGCTTGTTTTGTTGGGTTGCTGTCTCATATACATTTACCTATTATCTCCTTTTATTTATTCTGATTTGAAAATTGAGATTTAGATGGTCCATTTGAAATCACTATGATGAGATGAGAATAGTTTTAAAAAATCTTATTGATTTAAACATTTAAACAGTACTTGAGTACACATGCAGAAAACCTACTGGGTATTTAAACTTAATTGTCATGCAATATGATGTGTAACACAACTTTTGATTGGACGATGTCTGCCTTTCATTCCATGCTCTGAGTTATTGGCAACAAGGTTGTGCAATCACAGTTTCCTTGTTATTTCAAATGTTTTATCTTGAACATTTTCTGACTATGACATATATAAGAATAGAAATAACAGTACAGAGTTTGTAGCAAGGGTCCAGAAACGGTCATATTTGCCAGTCATGTCCTAAGATGAAACTATTTGTCCTAAACGAGTAATGGGATTTTGGACAAATTTTATTTTTTTACAGAAGTAATTTCGGTCATTTCATTGACTCAATGTTTAAAATCGGATTTCTTAATCGCCATTTTGTACTTGTGATCACTTGTTTTTGTTTATAATCCCTTTCCTGTAATAAAACTGCCACTACAGTAGTTTGATAATCCTGAGGGCCCTCCTAATATCTATATCAATGCCTCCGGGAAACATTGGCTAATGATCGCTAATCACTTTTTACCTGTGGTTTTAATTCACACTTGACAGTGATCACAAGCTCAGAATAATATCTTTAAAACATCAAAGTTCCCTGACAAGTGTATTCATTATTTATTTACTTTTCATCAAAGACAGTCATCAATTCTGATTTAAAAATTAAATCTAAATTTACGTAGAAAAAGTATTTTTTCATGAGTAACACATGTGCTTTATTTACTATGTAATACGCATGCGTGAAATTGTCTTCAGCAAATTTAATATTTAATCGTAAAATGCAAATTGATTTCATGCTAAATTAAACGAGTGCAACTATTATCTGTTATATGCAAACACTTTTAAAGGTAATAAAATATATAAAAGCCAGTGATTTCCTGTCAATTTGATAAACAAAACAAATCCCGGAAATGAATCCGAAATTATTCTAACTTTAAAATATCGCAGACTTCCGGTTTTAACTTTTGTCAAATCGAAAGAAACGTAAGCAATGTCTGAGAAATTAACCATTTTGAGTCATTAAAATCATTTCAATTTTAGACTGTTGCCTTCCCTAAACTGTCCTTCATGTTAATGGTAAGACATTTACTTAGTAAATGAGATGAAACAGCAATACAAGTTCGTCAAGTTCGTTGAAGCTATGAATATAGTCAAGTTGATATCGACAATTTGAAAAGGGGCACCAACTTTTCAAACATCTCAAAACGACCGAAATTGTCTGGAAAAATTTCCGGATCCTTGGTTTGAAGAGTTGCCACCATCAATTTGGGATGTCCATTTCTGAAACCACTGGCTCTTCTCTCCTTGCCAGTTAAACTACATACAGCATGATGTGTAATGCAAATATAAAAATAATAATATAGGTGGTTTTTCAAATTCTATTTTCATCTTATTTTAGATTTTTGACACTTCTTATGAAGATATGGTTGAAGATCTAAATCAGGTAATATTTTACTTTGATAATGAGTTTTTTCATGGTACAAATACGTGTATACAGGTATATAAAATAAGGTTTGTATGCCCCCGGTGTCCGGAGGGGGCATTAAGTGTTACCCTTCTCCATTTGTAAGTCCGTCCATCAGTTCTCTAACTTTAGTTTACCTCAACCAAATGTTATGAAACTTAAACACAATGCTTATTACCACAAAATACAGATCAAGTTTAAATTTGAGTGGCATTTCTATTACCGTTATTGTGTTATGCCCCTTTATAACATTATATGCAAGCAGGGGCATCATCTGTGTTCCATGGACACATTCTCCATTTATTTAAATTTTAATTCTGTCTGTCCTCCTCTTTGTATGTCCATCTATCTTTATGTCCATTTATATGTCAGCTTGTCCCATTAAATTTCCGTCTCATATTTCTCATGAACTACAAATAATAGCTTCATGAAATTTGTTATCATCTGGCTACACATCAACATGCTGTACAGTGTGACATGGTTTCAGATTTATTGCTCATCAATTTCCTGTTTACTGCATACTTTTATATTCTAAACATAATGCCCATGTATGAATTTTTTGTTGCAATTTCTAGTGAACAACAAACCAAAGCTTTCTGAAATTTGTTATCAGGCATCATGTCAGCATGCTATTCCGTGTGACACAGTTTCAGATTCATAGCTCATCAACTTCCTATTTACCCAATATTTATAAATTATTCAAACACATACTGGCCTTGTATAAAAATTTTTGTCATATTTGAGTTACAAATAAAAGCTTCCTGAAATTTGTTATCAGGCTACCGGTACATGTGAGCATGCTTTAAGTGTAATGCATTTTCATATTCATTTTTCTTCAACTTCCTGTTTCCCGGATACTTAAAGCAAAGGTTTCATCAGTGAGCTCACAGTTCTACTTATTAGTATCCTATTTCACATGAGAGCTTACATATTTTGATTAAACTGCATATAGAACATTGCTACTTTAAAGAGTTATCTCCCATAATCCAGGTTTCCCTGTTAATAATTTCACATTTTTATTCAGTGATTTATTATCATTCATTACAATTTTGGAATTCTTGTATCAGTTTTTTATTGCAGGGAGATGTAGCAGAAACAATCAAAACTTTCTTTGAACAAAGCCATATGGTACTACCCCAGAGGAGAAGTACTCTTATGTTAAAAGAGGTAGGAAAGGAATAATTAGGGTAAGGCTTTTATATTGCATATAAAAAAGTTAAGTGATAGATAGTTCTCTTTTAGGAAAAATTTCAAAGTGCACTGAGCACTCAGAAATTCAAAAGAGGGACTTTCATGAAATGGTTAAAGAGGAACTATTTGTGGATTAAACTTTCATATTTCTTTATATGTCCTGGCCTGTGTTTCACAAAAAATCTTACAACTTAAATTTATCATCAATTTTTGTTTTAAGATTTTTTGTGAAACCCAGGTCTAATCTGTATGTTTAGAAAATGAGAAATAATCACACTCTCAAATTGATTTCATAAAAAGGAATATTAAAAATGTTCATTTAGCAGGATTTATAGGTACATTAAAAAAACAACATTAGGCTGTTAGGCTTCTGTCAACACAGACACTCTTAAGCAAAAGGGGACTACTGTATTTTAAAGCATTTATGTGATGTTACAGTATAGCCATTAAACAGCAATGTTTGGATCGAAATGTGCATCATACTGTTTTTTTGCTACTGTGTCTGTTTGCTATTCATATCCATCTGAACATTGCTGTTTTTGTGGTAGAAGAACATCGTTTTATACATTATTATTGAGTCTTCTGGCAAGAAAACTGTAGCAACACATAGTGATCACTTTCCTGGTCCATTGGTCCTGTTGACATCAGCAGCATCCTATTCAAATTTTGTTAATCTGCAACTCTCTTAAAAACGATTTTAACAGAATTAAAGAAAATCAGACAAAATTTAGTATTATTTGTGTTGTCTGACAGTGAAGTTGTAGCGACACCTAGCGATCATTTCTCTCATCTTGCATTGTCACTGTGCATTAGAATCCAGGTCACGCTTTGTTAATCTCCAACTCCATGAAAACAGCTTGAGAAAATTCTACAAATCTTGCTCATATTCTTGAAGTTTTTCAACTGCTATTCTAATTTTTAATCTGAGTGATTTTTATACTTTCTTTGTACCAAATTATGGACTTGAATTTGCTTACATAATTAAGAGGATGCATGCAACACATATCATCCAGGTAAAACTTGCACATTTTGATGATTATATCCTATCACATTTTCAGAACAATTTCTGACTAAACACTATAACTCTTTTCAAGATTGATCAGTATTTAGAGGAACTCACAAAGGTCAGAAAAGAGGACGATCAGATGAAAATTCTTCAAGAAGTAACAAAAAGGTATAACAAGTTTAAGTTTTCTTCAAAACATTTTTTTGCCCATATGAATGTCTGTTTTGCTAGTCTTTGAAGAACGACGTCGATTTTTGGAAGAACAAACAATCGTAAATAGAAAACCAAATATTTACATGTGACCAATTGTGGACATGATACTTCTCGTAGAAAATAATTGTATTTACTTCTATGTAAATAGTGATACTATGATCTTTATATAGGGACAATATATTAATGTGGTATCTTTTTTTTAACAGATGTACAGCTGATGATATAAAGATGTTTGTGAGATTGATTACAAGGGATTTAAAAATGAATGCGGGTGCAAAGACTATGTAAGTTACAAAAAGGGTTAATTGGCAGGAATTCACAACAATTTCACAATAACAACACTTCCTTAACTTAGTATTAGCAGCTGCTCTGTAAATATATCTCTTGAAAGATAACATTGTTAGATGTGAGCCATAACTGGTCACTGTATGGTTCCAACAATGAGCTATAAAAGGCCCCAGTGTGACAAAATGAGAACTATTTCAAAAGAGAAAACCCCAATGGCCTGATTTAGGCTTCAAAAATGAATGAAAAACAAATATGATGGACAGCAGCCAATGATAACCACTAGATAACAGGTTCTTGGCTTTGGAAGGCACGTTACCCTGGCAATCCGCTATTGCTCACAGTTCCAAATCTAGTATTATTTTTGTATTGCCATTATTCATTTTGGTATTAATCAGAAAAACAGTAGTACAAACCCATGGATCGAAAAGGATTGCAAAATTTGCATTTGAAACTGTTAAAAAACTTTCCTTTGACTTAAGCAATGCTCAGTTGTTATATCAACAAGATGGCTGCAAGAATCTAGCGAAAACATAAAGGATTACTGCATGTGCACCAATGCCATAAAAAAACTACCAAAAGTAGAAAGATTATGATTTTAAATTCACTATTATATTCATTTTTCTATCAAATGTTTGTCCCCTACATAAAATTAGAAATAGGAATCTTTATATGAGTTTTTACATATTTCAGATTGAATGGACTAGATAAGAATGCTTACGATGCCTTCCAAGCTTCTAGGGATTTGAAGGATGTTGTACAGAGAGCTATGAATAGAGGGTCCAAACCAGGAAACAGTAAACCTCTCAATATCAGGACATTGTTAATGACACCAGTGCTACCTATGTTGGTAGGTTATCATTTAAGGGTGAAGTTTTACTCTGTAAAATTTCTGTTTTTACAAAGGTATTGCTGTGTAATTTCATTTGCTCTTTCCAAAGTCAGGACGCTTTATAAAAATTAGTCTATGCTTGGATTTTATGTGAAATTTCTTTTGGAGTACTGATTTCATAGCAAGATTGATAATGACACTAGATCTTTCCATGTTTGTAACCATACTTGCATCAGATTTCTAAAGAAAGTAGCTATGTTTATCATCAAGATTGAAAACAATGGAGAAAGAAATGGACAATGAAAACCTGATTCTTTAAACCGTAAAAAAAAAGAAAGATAAATGCCAGCACACCCCTATAACACAATCCCTTATCCTTCTAAACTTGTGAATACTTGTACCAAAATTTTCCTTACTCCTCACTAAAATTAATTCTCAAAAAAGGATAACTTTAGATTCATTTATTTTTGTTAATTCAGAAAAATTGTATTTTGTGGATACTTGATTTCTTGGTTTTCACTAATTCTGTATACATGTTTATTGGAAATTTGCTATTAAAATTCTTGGTTCACCTATATCATGAAACCCCCAAAAATGAGTACTCCAAGAATAACAATGACTCTACAGTATATTACAAATGTTGGCAGGAAATCTTTATTATATATTCTTTTGCTATTTACAGGCTCAACCTTGCAGATCTATTAAACAAGCAATTAAAAAATGTCCTGATGGAATGTATGCAGAGATGAAATATGATGGAGAAAGAGTTCAAGTTCATAAAAAGGGAGATAACTTTTCCTACTTCAGTAGAAATTTGAAACCTGTTCTGGATCACAAGGTAGGTCAGTGTTCTAGAACCATCCACCAGCAGTAATTTTTGCTGTTGTATAATTTTACTATGGAAAATCATCATGCAAATGTAGTCAAAGGAGTGTATTTGGTAATATTATTGTTATTCTGTTGTACCTTTAACCAAGTAAAAATATTAAAGTGCATTTTGAGTAAAGGAGTGGAGAACATTTTATTTAAATTTCCACTATGTATATATAGATTATTTTGACTTTGATTGTATATTTTGGAATAATTACTACTATTTACTGAATTAATATTTTTAAATTACACTTTTAAAATCTTTTATTTTCAGATGCTTTGATAAATATGATCATTGATAAAAAAAAACTATGGCAATGTAGAATTGAAATAAAAGTACCTGCCTTAAAATGGATGCACAGTAAAATGCAAATCGTGTTCAAAATTCTTCCACGTTTCAAGGGAAATATTCCCCCCCCCCCACCTCCCCCCCCATACAACAAGGTAATTTATATGATCTCAGGCAAAATCTTGAAAGTTGGATATTTGGAAGCAATTTAAGCATGTGTTTCTATTTTTTTCTCACATTTCTCAGTAAACAACATAAATCTTTCTTTAATTTCTCCAAAACTTATATATTTAAATGCCTTCCCAAATCCAGAAAATATTTTTTTTTAATTTGGGAATGGATTCAGATATTGCTGTTTAAATCACAATAATTAAATGTACCCATTTCTTTTTTAGATTCAGCAAGGTTTAATAGAATTTTTTATTCCAGAAATGTGTTGTGGATACAGAAATGAGTAGTAGTCATTTTTTTTGGGTAACGATGGCTTTAAAGGCTTTTATGTAAAATTCAATCATGCAGTAAAACATGTGCACTCTTGTTATTTCAGGTGAAGCATTTTTCTGAGTACATCCCTCAAGCCTTCCCATCAGGAGATGATCTGATATTAGATGCTGAAGTTGTATTGGTTGATAATGAAACTAACAAGCCTCTTCCATTTGGTAACTTAGGAGTTCATAAGGTTATGTATAAAGATGTTTGTTTAGTATATAGCGAAAAATTTAAATAGTCTAATGACACTTTGGGATTTTGTATTCTTTCCTTTTTTGATGCTATTGCTAATAAGAAAAGAAAAGTCAACAGAAAGTAAAAACTATTAATTATAAGAAAAGAAATAGGTATGGGGATTAATTGAAAGAAACTAGAAATTTAGATAGTGATCTTCTGCAGAAGGCATGATTATAATTATGTTTGACTATATTAAAGAATGTTCAAAATTATTATCATCAAACATTTTCAATAATTATAAATGACATATATAAGGGCTATTCCATTAAAAAGTATGTGGGAGGGTAGGAAGGGAAGTTTAATTATTGAATGTGGGTCATGGGTCTTTTTTCAGTATGCATCTATTACCATTATGCAAAATTATCTAAAAATGGTTCTTGATATTTTGAAAGTCCCTTCCTACCCTCCCACATACATTTTAATGGAATAGCCCTAACGACATTTTTTACATCAAATTTTTTTTTTTTTTCTAATATTTATCAAGAACTACTTTTACTTTGTTTTTTACTGTCTAAATGTTTATAGATTTTATTTGCATATTGCAGAAAGCTGAATTTAAGGATGCCCAAGTATGTTTATTTATATTTGACTGTCTGCATATTAATGGAGAAAACATCATGCACAAGTGAGTAAAGACTTAGAATTACTCTGGACTCATTTATTTTTGTGGATTAATGAAAAATTGTAATTTCATGGATATTTAATTTCGAGGTTTTGCCAAAGTTGGCATACAAGCCTATGATTAATTTTAACTTTGTTGAACATTTTAATGTCTGGTTTACATATACCATGTATACCTAGAAAGTCCCCAAAGATTGGTATCCCACAAATAAAAATTGATATACAGTATGTCACTCAAAATCTTCATTTTTTCTACATGGTTTCTTTATGTTACAAAGTAAATCAGACCATTTGAACATTGATATTTGTCAAGCCTGCAACATCTTGTCTTGGAAGTGTGACATATCAATCCTACATTCCATATATTGCATCATCAACACTTAGGTTCAGTCTGTGGTTAAAGTATTTTTAGACATCAATAACCTTGACAATCTTCTAGGAATTGACTGAAACTTGGACAGAAGATTTTTTATGATGAAAAGACAGTAACCAGAGTAAGATTTTAAAACATTTTCCCATATTTTACTGATACATGTAAGTGGACTATTACCCTATTAACTTTCTTTTATTTTGCCGGAAAAAAAACTTTAGTATTTTATTGAATTTTTGTAACTTTATATTGTAGACCTATTAAAGAAAGAAGGAATATTTTACAAGATGAGATGACAGAGATTAAGAATAGGGTTATGTTTTCTGAGATGAGGTTGATTAAAGTGAGTTATTACTTATAAAATTACTATCAGTTGTTTGATCAAGCATATTCAACTTACCCCATCCTATTGCAAGTACATTTCACAACTTGTACAGTTTACTAAAATATGTTCTAAAAAATCTAAAGAACCTAACCCCTCTTTTGCTTATGAGCTATAAATCATATCTTTACTTGTGTTTAGTGAAAAATGCACCTTGGGTTGAAAAAGACCCTTATTCATTTTGAGGTCAAGTTCACAACAATAAATACATTAAAATTTATGCAATTGTTTTGGTTTTTCATCATTTGACATGAATTGTCAGCAGACGTTAGTCTTTTCACCAGTACTAAATGACATTACCTGACACAAAAAACTGTTACTTCTACTACAAATCCATGAACATTGCAACTTAGATAATGAACCCTTTGTGCTTCTGTAATTTTCCTGTCAATCTTTACTTACAGGATCCAGAGGACCTACAAGATATGATGGATGATGTTTTTGGTCAAGGATTAGAAGGCCTTGTTTTGAAAGATATAAATGTAAGTTATTAATAGAAATATCAGTCATTACTCTTTGCTATTTGAGAAGCAGTGACCTGCTGTTTCCATGTATCACAACAAATATTTTACATATGATAAATTAAAATTTTGATATAGTTATTTAGTTCATATAAAAATAAGGAGATGTGATATGATTGCCAGTTAAACAACTATCCACCAGAGTTCAAATGACAGATATAAAAGCAATTATAGGTCACTAAACAGCCTTCAACAATAAGAAAAACTCAAACTCTATACCAGTAGTCAGCTATAAAAGGCCCCAACATAAGAAAATGTGAAACAATTCAAATGAGAAAACAAACGACCTAATTTATACAATACAATTTACGAAAAAGAAATATGATCAACTACAACCACTGTATGTTTACATGCTCCTGACTTGGGACAGACACATAAAGAATGTGGAGGGTTAAACATGTTTATAACAGTTGATTTCTTTTTTGTTGATTTCTTGAAATCATATAAAATCAATGATTTCAGGGTGTTTATTCACCAGGAAAGAGACATTGGTTGAAAGTGAAGAAAGATTACTTACAAGAAGGCACAATGGCAGACTCGGCAGATTTAATTGTTCTTGGAGCTTATTATGGTACAGGGAATAAAGGTTAGTAAGGTTAACTTCATTAGGACACAATTGCTGACTCAGCAAATTAGAATTTTTACTGCAAGATTGATACTGGACAGAAAATGAAGCTCAGAAAGAGTGAGCATGAACACAATTACTTCAAACAGGCACATACAGAATGTGGCAAGGTTAAACATGTTTTCTAATGCTCAACCCTCCCCTAACCTGAAACAATGGTGTAGGAGTATATTTTGTAAATTAGTTTCACTGAATTTGATAGAATATATATGCCAAACAACAAATATGCTACTGAATGTTCAAATGCTATTCTTTTGTATTGCTGATTTTGATTTGACAAGATCGTGTATTTTGAGGAGGTAAAATCCATGGTTTACCTGTCACAATATTTTGTTTAATCACAGACGATGTTACAGTTTATTTAAATAGTAGTTTAACAGGCACACTTTTAAATATTGCATTAGAATAAGACTAATTGGAATGAATTTTGATACTTGCTTACAATTGCAAATATCTTTGGTTTTTTTTTGGTTTGCTATTGCATTGATGGAGGACTCAATATCAGCAAGTATAAAAATACAATTCCTTAAAAAATGTTTTATTCACGGTGTTGAGTGAACTTGTTTTTTTTATTTGTACAATTTCATGTTTTTCAATTTTAAACATATAGATTGAATAAACTTGATTGAATATTGAAGTGACAAACGTACTTTAATACCAGAAAAGTGCAAAATTATTCATGATTATAATGAAAAAAAGATTTTGTATTTAGCATGAAGATAATTTTTCTACTCTTCATTTTAGGTGGAATCATGTCAATATTTTTAATGGGAGCATACAATCCTCATACAAACAAGTTTTGCACTGTTACAAAATGCAGTTCAGGTCTTGATGATAAGACTTTAGAAGAACTACAGTTCCAGCTTGAAGTGGTAAAAATCAACAAAGACGTCACCAAAGTACCAAACTGGTTACATGTCAATAAGTCCCTCATACCTGATTTCGTTGTCAAGGACCCGAAAGAATCTCCAATCTGGGAAATTATTGGAGCTGAGTTTAGTAAATCACCAGCCCATACGGCTGATGGTATATCAATACGATTCCCCAGGATTGCTGATGTTAGAGATGATAAAACATGGGAATATGCTACTGATGTTCCAATGCTACAGGTATAGAAAAGCTTTCAAAAGAAATAGACACGTTCTATAACTTATTTTATGTTTGCCTCTAGTACTGAAGAAAAAACATGAAAAAAAACTAATAAAACTTGGAGATGCTTGACAAAACAAACGCAGGCTTTAACTATGCTGTGTATGTTCAGAGCTTTATATTAAATTAGTGATTAGGTCCATAATTATTTCAGGACCACCACAATTAGATTTAAGAATTATGAACCTCCTTAAATATTTAAGGATATCCTGAAATTGAATTTTGTAGGTCCTGAAGTATATAATTATGAAGATCCATCAATATGAAGGATACCCTGAAATATAGCAATTTTGACTGATTTTTTGTGGAGCTCCAGAAATATTTCAGGAGCTCCTCAAAAACAACATTTTTGACTAAATCTGAACCTCATATGAGGAAAGACAAATCAGGATAAGACAAATAAAAAAAAAACTGAAATCAGGATAAGACAAAAAAAAAAAACCAAAATCACTCAAACTGGTTTGGCCTCAGAAATTAGAAATATAGACTCAGCAAAAATAAGCTACTTTACAGTAAAAATAAATGAAAACTCTGTTTGACCATTTTATTTCTAAAAACTAATAAATAAAGTTAGAGAACAGAAACGAAAAATTCAGAAATTTTTATGTTTATAAAGGGACATAACTCAAGAATTGTAAAAGTGTCACCACCAAATTTCGTACTTAATCTGTATTATGTAGTATTAAGCATTGTGTATAAGTTTCCTAACATTTGGTTGAGGCAAACTAAAGTTAGAAAACAGAAACAAAAATTTGTACTTGATCTTAGTTTTGTGGTAATGAAAAATGTGTATAGGTTTCATAATGTTTGGTTGGGGCAAACTTAAGTTACAGAATGGAAACTAAATATTTTGCAATCTTTCGATTTTAAAGGGGCATAACTCAATAATGGTTAAAGTGACACTACCCAAATTCAACTTGATCTGTGTTTTATCAGTGGAAGTCAAAATTAAACATTGCATTGTATAAAGCATTGATTGTAGTTGATTCAACTATAATCATGGACAAAGGAAGATAACTCCAATTTTAAAAATTACTTGATATTTAGAAGAAAATAAAAATTTTGCAATTTTTCCATTTATAAAGGGACATAACTCTAGAACGGTAAAAGTGACGACACCAAAATTCAAACTTGATCTGTGTTTTGTGGTAATAAGCATTGTGTATAAGTTTCATAACATTTTGTTGAGGCAAACTAAAGTTTAGAGAACGGAAACTAAACATTTTGCAATTATTCCATTTATAAAGAGGCATAACTCTAGAACAGTTAAAGTGACACCACCAAAATACAAATTTGATCTGTGTTTTGTGGTAATAAGCATTGTGTATAAGTTTCATAACATTTTGTTGAGGCAAACTTAAGTTAGAGAACGGAAACTAAAAATTTTGCAATTATTCCATTTATAAAGGGGCATAACTCTAGAATGGTTAAAGTGACGCCACCAAAATTCAAACTTGATCTGTGTTTTGTGGTAATAAGCATTGTGTTTAAGTTTCATAACATTTGGTTGAGGCAAACTTAAGTTAGAGAACGGAAACTAAAAGTTTTGCAATTTTTCCATTTATAAAGAGGCATTACTCTAGAACGGTTAAAGTGACGCCACCAAAATTCAAACTTGATCTGTGTTTTGTGGTAATAAGCATTGTGAATAAGTTTCATAACATTTGGTTGAGGCAAACTCAAGTTAGAGAACGGAAACCAATTAAGGGACGTACGGACGGACGTACAGACGTACAGACGGACAAGGGTAAAACTTAATGCCCCCGTCACTACGGCAGGGGCATAAAAATTGAATTACTCTATAAATACTTTTAATAGCTGTAATATATTTTACATGTGAGATTTTACCTATAATTATACACATTTATTTCAGGATCTGTTTAAGAAATCTAAAGAAGCATCCGACATAGTAACCCCAAATAAAGGGAAACCCTCATAGACACTTCTACAAAAATATAATAGCCTAACTTATGATGCCACTGTCAATAGTGAGAAACATGTTTGCTAGAACGGCATTGGATGATAGGGAAAGTGATGGCACTAGTCCAGCCACATCAGAAATGAGCTTGAAAATGTAGATTTTTGTGGTGACATTTTAGTACAAGAGACAAAGAACTGTGAACAGCTCTGCTTTGCAGAATGCTTGGTTGAACTTTAAATGGAAAAATGGACAGTTTGTTATGAAAGATGAATACTTATTTGGGTGATTTTATATTGGAATTGATAACCAATAATAAAAAAAAATATGAAAAATCTTATTTTAATGTTGAATCAGCTGACTGAATGGGTCATTTTAGTAATTGTCATATTTGGAATTAGTTATTTTTATTGCAAGTTAATAATTATTATTCGACTCTAAAACTACTGGTACTTGTCTTAGGAATCCCTGATGATAATTGTTCCAAAATACCTGTTGCGTGTACTGAAATCTGTATCATACACATGATACATGTACATATATATATCATGCAATTTTTTTTCAACCAGATTTAATTTTTTTAATGTAAATTCATTAGAAAAATACTAATCAGGTAAATGTTTTGTTAATCAGACTTTTAATAGTTTACATATGTCTGTCCTTCCTTCCCCTTGTCTGTTTTTTTTTTTTGTTGTTGCATTTTTCTCAGGAATTTTGAATCAGGGCTTTCTGAAATATGGAATCAAGCTTCCAAGTAAGCATGCTTTACAGTGTGATGCGTTTTCACATCCATTGCTCATCATCTTCCTGTTTACCGAATGATTATATCGATGGTATCATTTGTGAGAAATATCTCACATTTCAATTTGGTTTTTTTATGGAAGTAATAATTGTCATTTCTTGGTATTGTTCATTGGACCCCTTTAAATCTTCAAAAATTGATTATAAAAGAATTCAAGTTCATATTTGATACCTGATTTTATATCTCATCACAAATATATATTCTTATATATAATTATACAAACTGATAAGTTTTTGAATACATTTTTGTCCAATTAAAAAGTTGTTAATTAGGTTTCTAAAGTCAATTTGTATTTCACATTTTATGATCATAGCAGACATGTCATTGCCATTAACAGTAGCAATCAATGAAATAACAAAAACACTTTCCCAGGACAAACTCCTTTCATTTTTAAATTTCAATGTATAAAATGGAACGTTTATTCACTTTATAATCTTATTGATAATAATTTATCATTTGACCTACCTAATAAAATAACTTTTTGATTACTTGTGAGCAATTGACATCACTTGGCATCTGTAGTTGTCTTCCATTATCTACTGGGTCCTAAAGATACAGCAGGACATACAATTGATGAAACCTGAAAAAGCCAGAGGATCATAAAGTTTGATGCATATAAGATTACATGGAGATAATTGTTTAGACACCTTGACTGCCATAAGTCTGCTACAAACAAATCTATTTTCAATTATGTTCTATGGTTTACTGCCAAATGGAAAAATCATAGTCAAAACAATATAAAAGGATAATTAAACAAATTCCATCATTACCGGTAAATGTAGCAGATCCAGCAATTTACATAATATCTGGTTTACTACCTGCAGAGGCAGTTGTACACAAATAGGCACTTATCTTATTTGGTAGTATATACAGAGTTGGTGAGCTAACTGCATCTCATTAACGGAGTGGGAAATTGTATATTAAAGACATCTAGGAATTACAACAACAAAAAGTAATAGCTGGTTTATATTGCTATCAAAGCTGTCTTCTTGAAATATGAAATTGATGATCAATAAATGTATTTATTTGATAAATTAACTTAGTCTAAAATACAATGGAAAAATTTAGTGAAACGAAAAGTCAACATGGCTGAAATCAATGACAATTTTTTTGCGATTTAACAGTATCTGTGCCTTTTTTATATATCACAACCAGCCTAGAACTATTAAATAACATTCTGTTAAATGGACTGATCGATTGCATCTTGCAATTGGTACTGTCCAGTTTCACAAAATTTCATTTCCAGATTATATAAAATATATTTGTCATATCAAAACCCTGCTCATCAAAATGTAAAGTTAAGATGTAATCATTCTACTTAGTAGAAATTACGTTTTAAATGTATAGCAGTGATGCCAAAACTCTGTAAATAACCATTGGAATCTTGTTAGAATTGGGTAGGTTCTCGGGATTGCACTCAGGTTTTTTTTAACTTTTCGCTCTTCTTTTTGAAGATAAATTTGTCTGTTTACATTGTTTTGAAAAATCGCAAACCTCTGCAAAATTGTTTGGTGTTGTGTTGAAGCTTCTAGTAAGAAAGAAAAATGTTTTTTTAGCTGTCAACTACGAGCGTGTCATCCTGTATGCACCATTGCACTCTTGCAAAAAGTTTGTGCAAAATGAATTCGAAGTCAGATGATTTGAGTCAGATAGTGAAACAGTGGTTTGATTCCGCCAGTGTACTTTATCCGGAGGAAGAAAATCCCCAGTGATTTTTATCCACCAACAAAAAATCACTAGGTTTTTCTATCCGGGTCCAGTGTAAAACATCCACCAGTCATTATAAGGTTCTAAAAAGGGTTTTTTGAAGGGGAAACGTGTATAAAATGTAGCTTTATATTTTTTAGTATATTTGAAACTTGCATAGTTTATTTATGTAAAAAGTGGAGAGTTTTCATCCAAGGAATAGTTCACACTAGTGTTTTTAAAGAAGGAATGATTACACTAGTGATTTTGTACCGGAATGATTGCACTAGTTATTTTATACCGGGATTAATTACACTAGTGCTTTAAATCCATACATTGATGAGGTGATTAGTACTCATTTTGAACACACGATAACACAATAATGCTATAATTTTTCTATGCAATTCTATAAAATCATATGCTTTTAAATTGTCACTAATTGTAATATTTATATTTATTGGATTGCCGAAGTTTTTCTGTGTATTTGCTTTTCGGTCGACTTGGATATAAAATCATATCTTCTATGTCAATATCAAAGGACGCTTCTATAATTGAAACTTTATGTAAGAACAAATCTGCTCTTTAAATTTGGTTTATATCAAGTTCAATGTTCTGGTCATTGATAAAGTATTTTGAGTTATAAAAACATCCTCCTCATTATCCATGTTATCATCAATATCATTTACTAGATTGACTCAGATTAATTAAACCGGTTTCTTGAAAATCATTTTAATTTTAACCCATTTATTTGTGTAAACAATAAACCAGTCTAATATAAACAAAACAAAGATATCAGGTTCGACGCTTTCACACTATTTACATCCATTATTCTCTAGTGAAAAACAGTTACCCGGAATAAATACACGGCGGAATGAAAGTATGCTTACAATAGACACACAAAAACTGCAAGACCTTACATCAGCAGCAAAATGGGAGAAGGACTGGCTCATGTCGTTCCATGCAGACAAGTGCTCAGTCCTTCAGATAACAACCAAGAAAAACCCATTGAAATTTGACTTTACTCTTCACCAACATGTACTGCTAAAAGAAACATCCACAAAAATATCTTGTCGTAACAATACAAACTGACCTAAAATGGAACAAACATGTAAATAATAGGCAGTGTCTGCGTGACCACGCATGTGGGGACGAGTAGCCAAATTGGCCTTCGTAGGCTTTGCGTAACCGCATCAAGTTTTATAACAAAATGTCATTGGACCAGGAACATGGGGAATGAAACATGAAATATGAACGGAAATTATCGGTAATATGCGGATTTTGTTAATTCAGTGAAAAGAAGGGCAATTAATGTTTTTCGATTTGTATTTATTATCTAAAAATACATAAAAAACATTGCAAATTAGACAATGTTAGATGCACACTAAAGGAATGAAACTGTAAAGTCCCTGTAAAAGAAAATATGATAAAAATTAGAAATTGAATGTAAATGCACATTTAAAGAATCAAATTATACAGAATTTGAAAAAAAGATATGTGAAAACTCAAGTGTGAAAATAATTTCTAGTAAAATGCAAAACAGAAACCAAAATTTTAAAATATCTAAAACAACTAAAAATAAATTCTAAAAATAAACATGATAAAGCTTGAGTGTATACATAAATTAAAGAAGCAAGTAATAAGATCAAATTCAATGTGTATAAAAATAGATGCTGATGATAATTATACATGATAAACCAATTTTAGTAATTTTGTACAAATTGTTTCAATTCATTATAACTCTTAAATGTCGTTCCCACCTATATCATGTATATATCACACTCTTCCATTTTAATATAAATAAGAAGATGTGGTATTGTCAACGTATATTTGTTCCGCTTAACAGAAGTTCCACTGGAAACTTTGTTATAAACAATGTCATAATATCTGTTCCTGTTGGAACAAATATTCCATACCATTTATTCCCTTAGGAACATATACTGTAATATTTATTCCAGTGGAAATAATATTCCAGAATATTTTTTCCATTTGGAACTAATATTATGAAGGAACTTCTATTTCATGACAGTATGAGTGCCAATGAGACAACTATCCAACCAAGTCACAATGTGTAAAAAGTAAACAATTATAGGTGAAAGTACGGCCTTCAACACGGAGCCTTGGCTCACATCAAACAGCAGGCTACAAAGGGCCCCAAAAAGACTAGTGTAAAACAATTCAAACGAAAACGAGAAACGAGAAGCACTTATGAACCACACCAACAAACAACAAAGACTATTTATTAACTGAGAAAAACTGTTCATTTACTATATGAATATTTATAAAACTTCTGAGTATTAATCAATTTATTCACAAATTGCAATAATTTCCGTGTAAATTTCATGTTTCATGCCTGACACTGCCTAAATAATATCACACCTGCAGCCACACAAACTTAAAGCTAAACTTCATTAAGATAAATTTAAAGGTCAATTCAAAAACAGTAAAAGAAAAAGCATATACAGCACTTTTAAGACCAAAGCTAGAATACAGCAGCTGTGTCTGGGACCCACATACCAAATAACAAATCACAAACACACAAACTTTGAGATGGTCCAGTGCTGAGCAGCTAGGTACACATGCAACAGATACCACAACACCAGCTCAGTCACTGAAATGCTGCAAACACTAAGTTGGACAACTCTTGAGAAAAGGCCCACACACACATCTCTGGTACCAGCCCAAACACAGCTGTTCTATCCCCATTTATGGGTATTATACTAAAAATTCGGGTATCAATTTACAGTGATAAAAAGTCAAATTTTGTATTTCAACATAATGACTGTCATAGTGCAAATATTCATATAAAATGAGCACTGGAATTTTCAGTACATTAGTATATGTAGGGTGATTTTCACCCTCCCACACACATCTCTGGTACCCAGCCCAGAGTTGAAACTAGAATGGGCACTTCAGGGGCCTTGGTTGGTCAAAGTGACCCCCGACTTTGACCTGGAGATCAATCTGCAGATACATGTATCTCTTCAGTCATCTGTTCCCTTTGAGGAGCCTTGTGGTTCTCTCCGAGTACTTCAGCTTCCTCCACCATAATAACAGACTTCCTGGTGTCTTAACACTCCTTTTTTGTTGGGTTGGGGATTTCCCTTAAGGTAAATAAATAAATGTATATAAGTTAGTGACACATCTCCATTTATCCTAATAGGGAATGTACACAGATTCTACTGTACCCCCGCAGCTCTCGCAGGGTGCTCTGAATAATCGAAAGATCTATGTACAATGTTACATACATATATACAATGGCATTTTTTTTCTTTTAAGACCAAAGTTCACATGAGAACTGTATACAAAAATCCTACTTTTTCAAGGCTATTAACTTTTATCCAGATAATGTTTCAGTCATGGTGTCTTTGGGCAAAATGTTGTCATTAACCTGAAATATCTTGAAATCCATAGTTTATATTTTTATCACTGAACACTGACAACTGTTTTGGGTAAAATGCTCATAAATGGAATTAATACCCAACTTTCTTAAACCTAAATTGCCTTTAACATGTTTCACTTTAACATATCAAGGTGTTGTCAGGCTTTAAAAAACTTTTCCAGTTGCACAGATTTGTCTGATCTCCAAGTACTTTTGTGCTGTCGACACAACTATTTCTGTCAAATAGTGATTATAGTGAAGATGAACCTTCATAATACATCATTAACTGAGATAAAAGATCTGTTTCCTTAGTCATCATTCTTCAAAATGAAATGGATACACGATTATCACAAATTTTTTATACAAACTATATTGTTTCCTTAAAAGAAATCTTAAAACATCTATTACAAACATTTAAAAAAGTCGCAGGCATACTAAATGTTACACTTTAGTCATGTCAGTATAGAATAAAACTGTCAAGACTGTTGAAAAAAATCACATTTCAATAAATTTCAATTATTCAAAATGGCAGTTTCCCTAAGTTACAGAAGGTAGATTGCTGTTTTTTATTGCTGCACATTATCCAGTTAAAATTCTTGATACAAATGAATCATCTTGATTGCATTAGAAGTTTCATATGACAGAAACATTTGGGTTTGAACCACTTCTAAATCCTGATGGGATACAATAATTCATTTGGAATATTATCCCATTTTTGGAGATACAATTGTATAAATTTACTTTCCGGGTTACCCAAAATTTTTTTAGAGGTTATTGGTATTAATATTGACTACAGTGTAGTCATGCTAGTGTATTATTAATCATGTTAATAGGATAAAATTTTACAACAGGGTCAGAAAGTTTACTAGATACCTGATTATTTCTGAGGGGTATTTAAGTAAATGAACAAAGCTGAAAATTAGACAGTTTCAAACATCTTTGAAAATATTTATTCAATGAAAATTATTGTCCTCATGAACAATATGAACATCCACCCAAATGATTACAAGAACACTAAAAGAAAACTTAGAACAATTTCAATTCAATGTTCAACATATCTAGATCTATGTATTATCATCATTATCATGAAGATCAATACCAAGAGTGATTTGTTAGGTTAAAGATTGCAATCATGTACTCAGAACCCCTATGGAGCTGGAGATAGTTATCCATTCTCCATCTCCTTTACTACTACATGTACTTTCGAGATAAAAAACAAGATAGTGCATTGAACATAACTTTCTATATTTCCTATCAATGATTATTTCAAGAAATTTATCAATGAAATATCTTCGTATTATTATTTGATACTGAACCTTCCATGACATTTTTATACATGTATCAATAAAACAATGGATTTTGACCTTTTGACTGTTTACATGTAAAATGGCACTGGTAATGTGTGGCTCAATTTATGCTGATTATGTACCATGTGTACTTGTCAGAAAACTAAAAGTCATTTATGTTTTTTTTTTTTAACTTTTTCAGATTTATATGTGTTCCAATGTTCTGATTGACTCTAGATAGAATGTATGAAGTTAAATGCCCCTTCTGCAGTTATGACACTACTTTGAGTGGGAACCCATGCCTACCAAATTTCTAGGTTGTTAACTTGTCTTTTACCAGTAAATAAAGGATCCCAGATTTTATTAGACAACCATACAATAACCACATTGGAACATCTGTATACCTTGTGCTAACACGTCTGTGAAGATGGCTGATAATAAGTATATTGTTGGGTATGCCAAACTAGGAACATCAAGTTGTAAGAAATGTAAAACTAAGATTGAAAAAGGTGCCCTGAGAATAGGCAAAGTTACAACTAATCCATTCTCTGATGAAGGGGGTGATATGAAACAATGGTATCATCCAGATTGTATGTTTGAAACTTTCAAACGAGCAAGAGCAACAACAAAGAAGATCGAAGAAGGAGAGGATATGGATGGGTTTGGAGATCTTCAACAAGAAGATAAAGATCGTCTTAATAAAATGATTGATGGTATCTATTCAAACAAAACATAAGATATTGCAAAATAATTATCTGTAATCTTAATTTGGTTATGCATTTGACTGCCTTTGCAAAAATTTGATGTTTTTGCATCTTTTTAAGTTTGCTTATATATTCTTAAAATTCTGTGTATGATAAATAAATACATGAAAAATTATTTGCAATTTCTTCATTATCTCTATATTACTCTTACCTTATTTATGTATGTACATTATATATCATGAGCTAATATTTAATTTCCGATAGCATGAAAAATGTTCTTCAAAATTAATAATCAATGAGTTTATCTTGTTTATAAATAGTTAAGTTAATTAGAAGAAAGCAGATTACCAAGAAAGTCTTATTTTATTGGAACTTTTTTAAACTTAAGTTTTCTAAATTTGAAAACAAAAATCATAAGAATCTTTTAGTTGTCATGGTTGTTGCAATTTTCACAATTATTCTATTTCAGATTCCCAAGCCAACTCAAAGTCTCCTGCAAAAACTCCAAAAAGGACACCAAAAGCCACTGCACAAGCAAAGCTGCCATTTTCACCTTCAAAATCCCCACCAAAGTCTTCACCAACGAAATCAGCAGCTTCTCCAAAGGCAGGACCATCAACTGCTGATAGTGACGAAGGTTTGATTCAAACATAATTTGTTCAATTGTATTTGTTTCAGATAAGAATTATTTGAACTTAGAATTTTAAAGCTGTATATAATGCAGGATATTTAAGGCCAAAAAAATATATACTTGTTTCCTGCCTTCTGGTAGAAAAAAAGAGAGTAGGTAGGTAGGTAAAATAGTTTAAATTTGAATAATATTTTACATACATGTAGACTACATATAAAGGAATATTCTGGGCTTTAAGAGTGCTATAACCAAAAATTTCTGAACTTTAATAGTGCGAAACTAAAAATGTCTCAACTTTAAAAGTACTAAACCTAAATAAAAAAAAGAAATTACAAAAATAAACTGTGGTGATTATGTGAAACTTGTATCTTCTCTTATACGAATAATCACTAAAGTTAAAAAATTACAACAGAAAGTTTTGTGAAGTCCGCAAAAAATGGCTAAACATGCAAAAAAGTATTCTCTAAAGGTGGTATTAATTGATAAATACACTGTTTAAGAAATAAAGCTTTCATGCCATGCTCTATGCCCATTTTTAACACCAACAAAAAATGTCCATTTTAATCGTTAGATTTGTTCAAAATACAACTAACGTTACAATTTTTTTATGTCGTGCATGTGAACCCTATGTTCAATTTGAATTAGAACATGGCTTTGTTTACAAGCAAAAGTAAATGTCATATTAGATTTAACAATTTTTGAATACCTTGAATATAAGATAGTGAAATAAATTTCCAGTAAGAAGTATCCCATATGTGAAATAATCCTAAACATTTTTATGTTCTTCCTTCAGAAGCAAGTACCAGTAAGAAAGGTGATTCTGGTGATAACTTTAGGAACTACAGGAAATTGTGTGCAGATATTGCAGCCGAGAGTAGCTACCTGTTAAAAACACAGAAAGTATCCAAGTTCTTAAAAAACGGGCCAAATGGAGGTATACCTAGGGAATACCCTACACTATTTCTGACTATAACATTTATTTATAGAAATGTGAGGCTTACAGTTTTATAGTACAAACAAATTTATATTCAACAAAAAGTATGATCATTCCTTTATGCTGCAATGCTAGTTCTGTAAGAGATGTTCCAGATTTAATTGCATGGGGGGATGGGAGGCACTCAAATTAATAAATTGTGTGTGGTTGTATATTCTTAAGAATTTTGTAAGAAATAAACTGTAAATTCAGAAATTATTGCTAGGTTTTTATTATTGTGAATAATGCAAAGTTCTGGTTGAGAATTGCAATAATAAGAACTCACATTCTGCTATCTGATACATATATCTGTATGCAGATTACTTGAAATCGTAATAATTAATTATGGATTTTTGTCCATTCTAAAATCTCAATAATAAATGCAAGCAATAATTTCTGAATTTACATTTATTAAAATGAACATTTTCATATTATGGGTGCTTGTGGTCTAAAAAAAGTGCCTTCCATCCCCCATCCCATATGCGTTTAGATCTGGAACAGCCCTAAGCTTTTGCAGAAGATAGTAGTTGGGTTCAATTTTGAACCCTGGCGTATCATTACTATATTATCTGAAAAACTTTTCTAATAGTGGGTTAGGATGAATATTGCTAAAATTGAACAAATAACTAGTTCATAATTTATTAGAATTTATTAGAATTTCAAAGAGTGACAGGTTCTTTTCCCCTATAAAAAAATGAATGGAAAAATGTGTTTTAAGAACCAAAGGAATGTGTGGACAGGATGCCCTTTGCAGTCTACTATTTTAAAGTGTCCCAAATGACCCCCTCCCTATTTAGTAAAAAATTCAAATATCATCTATTTGATTTTTTTTCACTTGGAATATACATTGAAGGTACTGACAGACAGCCTTATGGATGTAAGCTGGTTGACAGATAAGCACTCAAAGGTTAACCTGTCCACATGTACATGTAAATAATAAAAATTAAGATAAAGTAAAAATAACTTTAAAAACCCATATTCATACATATTTTTATAGATGGGTTTAAAGGTGATGCCTTCCTGTGGTTGAAGTTATTGTTACCTGGATTTGTGAAGCGGGTTTATAACGTGAAGAGTAAGCAGTTAGTTAAATTATTTAGTCAGGTAATGAAACCTATTTACAAAATATTCATTTGAAATTTTGAATTTGTTTAATCCATTAAACCAAAGAAAAAGTACTCTACACCTTGTGTGAGTGCTTCTGTTTTTTCTCCATTCAAATTTTTATCTTTTAGTTTGTGAAAATTGTTGAATACAAATGCTTGTCTGATAATATTAATTAGATATATTTTCATGTCTTATTTATCATGTTGATCTTGAAACAAAAGAAACAACAATCTTTTACATTGAGTACAAGGAGAAATAAGATACAAGTTTTATGCATGCCTTTTATATAGACAGCAAAGAGACATAAGATACAAGTGTTATGCATGCCTTTATGTAGACAGCAAATACGCTTATTACTATTATAGACAGAAAAGGGAAAGATAACAATTAGGGGGAAAATCTTAACTCCCCTGACAGCATATTTCAAAGAGATGATTAATCTGTCTTGTTCCCCATAAATTAAAAAAAAAGTATAAAATAGGATTGTTTTTTTTTATTATTTCTCATTGCACGTCTTATTATGCCCATCATAATATAATTTCAGTTATTTGTTGTTTTTCCTCAGATTTTCTTATATTTTTGCCACCAGTTAGCTCATAGCTTGTCCTGTAAAGGTCAGACTATATTATCTAAGCTTATTTTCAGATTTTTAATACTTCTCAAGAAGAAATGGTTGAAGATCTTAATCAGGTAAAACTTTTATCAAGAACTAAAATAAAACATTTCTTATTGAATAAAAGGAAATTGTTATGATTTAAGGTGGTACCCAACACCTTGACTAATATTAATTTGGCTCGTTTAATTTTCATAAAATTTTGACAAAATGTTTACTTTGACCCTTTAACATAAATATAAAAATTTCAAAAAATTTGAACCAACCACTTTATCAGAAAAATTTCATTGGTTATATAGCAGTTTGACAAACACTAATTTTGATCATTGAGAAGCTTAATATTTCCTTAACAAAACAACGTGATTAAAACGTTTAGCTGATTTTTACAGAGTTATCTCCCTGTAGTGTAAGGTACCACCTTAACCAAGGGTCCAATTTTTATTTTCTTATTGATAAAGGTTTACATTTGCGTTTCATGTTAAAGTTTAACTAGGAGGTAAAAAAAAGATGCAGTTTTAATGAATCTGCAGTGTGGTCAAAGTAAATCAATTTCTGTATGAGTATATTATCCTGGTTTGTAACACAATAGCCTACATTCTAAAATCTCTGTCATTTATAGACACAAAAATGATATTCAAAGTAGACTACAAGTGAAAAAAAAATTCCTGTGTGTTATTTCCATCTGTTTAATGCATCAATCATGCCATGTGTAAATAATGTTTTTTTTATGTTAAAGGGAGATGTAGCAGAAACAGTGAGAATTTTCTTTGAACAAAGTGATACAGTACAGCCACAAAAGAAAAGTACTCTTTTATTAAAGGAGGTAGGAAAATGGTTCCATGGTCAGAGATTTATTTCATTGAAACTTATATTTCTTCTCTTTTTCGTGTTTAGTTTTAAAAGATGAAAATTGATGTACACATAGTATTTCTAGCTTTGTATTCTGTGTATTGATATATGCAACATAGTTAATATTTATTTTCTTGTAAATAGGACCCCCTCCCCATATTTTACTCAAAACTGCTAAATTTGAGTTCTATGACAACTTTTTGATTCTTATAATAGATACAGAAATCAGAGGCTTAGAAGGGTAAGCAGTTCTTGCTTTACTATTGGGTTATTCATGATGAGTAAATATCCTTAATTTATTTCCAAAAATAAAAAAGAAATGATATTATTTCTGATTGGACCAAGTACAGTATTTTTGATTGTGTTCCAATATATTTAAATAGGCATCACAAGCAACATAAGTTTTTATGTTAAACATAGCATTGGTTTGAAAGCCAATCAGGAAACAGATTTACATGTGAATGCTGACCTGGGGTTTTATTTGAAATGATCTTATAAAATAACAAAAATATTTCCCTATGAACATATATAGTGACCCTTTTCTATTTTTACAGGTTGACCAGTATTTGGAGGATCTTTCCAATGTCACAAAAGAAGATGACCAGTTAAGAGTTTTGAAGAAAGTTGCAAAAAGGTATTTTGAATTTGTACAATTAAGAAATTGATACCACAACTGCTAAAGTTTTAATATTTGATAATTCATAAATAACTTTTGTGCAGAAAAGATTTAAGCATAAAAGTTTGTATTAAATTTCAGTGCAAGAAGTATGAAACCCATAATAATGATTTCAGTGTAACAATTGAACGACAAGGCCTACGTGGCATAGTGATCTTAATAGCTTATTTGCAGTGATCACTAACTCTGAGATTATATCCGATCTTAACTGACAAGGATTTTTAGTTTTCCAGCTGTAAGCCATTGGATTTATGTGTGTACTACCGCGCCTTCAGCAATAAAAATTTGCTGCCATTAATTTGCCACGGTCACCGAAAGTGACCTTAAAGGGAAAATTCACGATTTTTTTCTTATTGTTTAAATATGTTCATTATAACATAAAATACATATTCACAAAGTTTTATTGCTATATGTAAAGTAATAAAAAAGAAAATCATGAATAGTTAATTTTTTTATTGACTACTTCCTGTAGTATGTGACGTTTTCTCCTAGTATTGCATGCCGGGATTTAAAGTACAATCATTTAAAGTCTTGGTCTTTAATCATATTTTAAAGTAATCTAAAGCTAATTGTGATAGCTAATTATTATCCAATAGTAAGAAAATAAAACGAACAGACGTACAACTTTTTACATTCAGGAGATAAAAATTTCTATATTTACCGTATATATTTCGATTTATTTTTGTTGACAGCACATAAAGTAAATCTTTTAATTTTTTTTAATATTTGCTTTTTCTGACGGATATGGTGAACAAATTAAAGTATATAATTTAAACTGTAAGGACAATATATAGGCGTACGCTTATTGACCTTATACTATCTACGCTAGGACTAGGTATATACGATGTGTATATTATTCTCTGGCAATACTCGTGGACGGCTTGTAAAAAGGTATAAGGTAATTTACAGATCGGCAATTAGCCGGGCCTCTAGGGCACACCGTGCCAGGTGTGACTGTCAATTCGAATGGTATATAAGACAGAAGGTCGAGTTTAATACACAAAGTTAAATACATATTCAAGGTGGTGGCAAATACAAATAGATCGCTGTGGAATTTTTAATTATATTTGGGGTTAGGTCTGTTGAAACTTAATCCGGATATTAAACATTTATTTCACTTACATGTAGGATGTAATAAAAATGATAAACAATGTTAATACTAAATCTAAAGGAAAGATATTAAAATCCAAATGATTCTTTTTTATTTTATCACTTTAAAAACTTTGAAATAATATCTGGAAAGTTATACCCAAGTGTTATAACAAGAGTATAAACACTTATCATTTCACTCACATAAAAAAAAACAGAATTTCATAAAATTGGTTTATCTAATTAAAAGCCCATTTGATTCAGCTCATATGGTTAAAAATAAATGGTACCACCCAAATCTATATATTTGAAAGCTGGGGATGCGCTTATTGGCCTAAAGGTGTTGAATCAATACCGGAAAACATCTAAGATCAACTTCGCCTATGCAGAATGGAACAGAGAAAATACATAGATCGCAATGGAATATTTTTAATACGTTTGCTACAGTGTAACAGTTCTTCATGCTACTTCAGCTAATGATCTTCCATTTTTTCCCCAATAGAACAAAAAGTTTTTGATTTAGAAAATCGTTTATTATTCAAAATTGTTAAATATTCATTGTTAACGAAAAAACCATTGTGACTGTATTACAATCAAATTCTAAATGAGGAGATACTTTTGTAATAAAAAAGGGAAGTTTCATGATTCGAAGTGGTAAGATTTGATACTTATTCAATTTTAAGTCTCGAATATATATATAGAAAATAAAACTGTAAAGGGGCGGTAATTATAAATGTTTTAAGTTCACATGGAATGTTTTAATCATACATTATTCAGTGCAAGAAAACGTTAGTGATTTGTATTAAAATGACAGACCATAGGAATCGAACTTTAATGTCCTCTGTATCTTGCAATGTATTGCTGTCCTTTTCCAGACTTGTCATTCACATTCTTTAGTTGGACACATTATTCCCACTCTAAACAGACAAGAATACTCCTAAATATCAGCTAGAGTTCTTAGCAGACAAGCCATATTTTAAAATTTCTGTGATTTGATACTTTGTAAAAAACACCAAAATTAATTCGATACTCAATATATTTCCTTGAAAATTTACATACCCTCATTCAGTCCGAAAATAAAATATATATTTAGTACACAGAACATGCAGAAGTGTGAATGTCATAAAACTTTGTTACATCACAAATAGCCGACAAAAGGTATTGAACGCCATTATAAATATGAACCTGTATACATTAGACGTCATGGGACGGCACCTTACCATATACAGGTAATATACATGTAGCTCCGTAATACCCGAAAATGTCAAGGTAAATCACTACATATACAGAATGTACCATGTCAAAGAAATTTTCACGATTAAAGCATGACCATTCATGTTTTAAGAGGGGTCATGGGTGGGGGAATGGTTTAAATTCTGACTAGACAATATTTTTTTTCTCTCAATAAAATCACTTAACTAAAATCTAGCTGTTTTAAAAAATACATCCAGGAACAAAATTATTTTTGTAAATTCATAAATCAACGTTTTCCTTCTGTAAATTTCGATAGAAGTGAGTTAATTTTTAAATTCCCTTTTGGGCCAATGCTTGTTTAGTAAAGTTAGAATCATAAACTGACTCTAGAATCAAACAATTTATACTCCCCCAAAAAAAAAAGAAAAAAAAAAGAGATGAACGGTAAGTCCCATCAAGTTTAAATATTTAAGTATTTTATTTTTGTTAGCCAGAGCAAGGATTCCTCACTATACAATCCTTGGCCAGAGATATATACATGTCTCTGAGTTAGCCCATAAAAATGACAGGAAAATAAACTTGAAATAGATTTATGGTGTGTGCTATGCAACTGCAGCACATATACAATTTTCATGAGTTTACCCGTTCCTTTTATGTACAGAAATATGCTAAATTTATGCACTTTAAAAAAAATTCTTTTCTCTTATTACTCTCCTTTTTGCTTAAATACTATTTCGGGAATGATTTATTCCCCCAAAAGTTTACTGAATAAATTTATCAATTAACTTGGAAAGTCTACCTGAAAAAAACATCTGACACCCTTTTAGCAGATAAGACGTTAATATTCAACTATCAGTCTGTCCGAAATGAAGTTTCATTATTTCTTGAAATAGGATTTTTGGGGGATCATTAAAGTACATAATCATGGCAACCCTCATAGTACCTTGATATGACCCCGAGTTAAGAATTGTATATAATAGCAGGTGTGCGATGATTGACCTGCATTACAGACAACCAATCATGCAATACGTTAATCTTTGAGTATCCACACTTGTAAATTGATTGACAGGTGTCTTTACCTTATTTGAACCATCCATATATGCTATCAAGTTAGAAAATCATGGAACAAGATTCGCTTTTCATTACAGTTGGGAGTTTGAATATATTTCAATGTTTCAACGCAAGAAGATATTTTAAGTCATCGCAAAAAAATATTTGTTTTGCGAATAAAGAAGCATTTAATAATATTTTCATTCCAAAATGCAGACCCAAAAAATAGCATTTAGACTTAAGAATAGTATAGTAAGATTTTACACCACAAATCCTTGTTTAGAGGCAAAAGAAAATATTATAGATTAATAGAAAAAAAAACATTAAATGCTTGTCATCGCAGAGGAAAATATTTAAGTGACATGTCTCCATCCTTTCTTGTCAATCACGGATCTAAAGTCGGTGTCAGTTATGGAATTGCACAATCTGTTTTCACTCTCATGTCTGCAAATCATACCGATACTGATTGATGACCAACTGTATGTCATGCTGGTTTTGGGACTTTGTGGTAATAAGATATTAAGTGATTATTTGCACCCGAGATGCCGCCAAAATGGCAAACAGTCTGGAATCGGTAGTCAGATTAAAAATCAATTTTGCTCACTTATCCAGCCAAATAAAATCTTAATATTCTTAAATTTATATTTGTTTATGAAAAAGGATCATAATATCAATTTTTCATTTTTTTGCGAAGTTTCCCTTTAAACACCAACGAAAAAACATAAAGGCAACTTTAATAGATTTTGTCTCGTACAATGAAGACAATTGTGATTCATAAAACATCAAAGCCCCAATTGCAAATGCATTATACATTTTTCGAATACATATTTGCAAATAGAATTAAGTTGAATTGCTTTTTCTTAATTTTTTTTCAAATGATAGTGCATTGTAGAAAAAAAAGGAAATTGCCTAAAAAAATTTTGAAAGAAATTATCAAAATTTTATGTCATATTAGGTTGGTTGTTTCAACTTCTAAGGCTTCGTGATGCATACATATTAAACTCAATGCAGTTTAACATGTTTTTATGATAAGCCTGTTAAAGTACACAAAAAGCCAGTTTATTAATAATAAATGTTGGTTAATTATTTCTTTAAAGATTTTCTATTAGGGCTGTTCCAGAAAATACTATGCCCCCCCCCCCCCCCCCCCCCCCCCCCCCCCCCCCGCCCCCAGGGACGGCACTTTTTTAAACCCCCACCACCCACAGAAATAAAAATAAATTAGAACAACACTCCTTTTGCATTTTGGTATTTCAAATACAACCACCCACACAAAATTAAAAAAAAATTGCCTTCCCTGGGGGTGACATAGTATTTTCTGGAACAGCCCTTAGATTCAAATCTTAGAAAAGTTTGAGATTTATCTGATATTTCTTTCACAGCCAAAATTAAGTTTTAATTGTTCAATCTAGCTGCAAAACTTTGGTCATTGGTGGAATACACATATTTTTCAAAAACTTGTACTAGTTTAGAATAAATTGATTTTCATGAATTTTAAAATTTCTTTTCAGATGTTCATCCAATGATTTAAAGATGTTTGTGAGGTTGATTAAACATGACTTGAGAATAAATGCAGGAGCAAAACATATGTAAGGTCATTTTTATATTCACTATGACAAAGTTAATAAAAATAACCAATACATGTATGGTAAAAGACTGTATGTAGACATCTAGTCTCTAGATGTCATTAGGTTATTGATGTAATTAGGTTATTGATGTCATTGGGTTGCTGTCTCATTGATGTATACCACACATCAAACATCTTCTGGTGGTACAAACCATTGGGTTGCTGTCTCATTGATGTATACCACACATCAAACATCTTCTGGTGTTACAAACCATTGGGTTGCTGTCTCGTTGATGTATACCACACATCAAACATCTTCTGGTGGTACAAACCAAATATGAGCATAAAAATGTTGAAAATCCCTATAACAACATATGCAAGGACAAACGTTATGTGTCAGTCATTTAAGTGAAAAGATTATGGGTACAATCAAATAAACACTTCAGTATTGCATAAATATGAAGCATATCTGCAATAGAGATACAAGATTATCTGTCATCTTATAAAGATGTTTTTTTCTTTTTATATTAGTTTAGATGGATTAGATGAAAATGCTTATGCTGCTTTCCAAGCTTCTAGGGATCTGAAGGATGTTGTAGAGAGAGTAATGGAAGGAAGAGAGGGCTCCAAACCAGGAATGAGTAAAAAACTCAGTGTACGAGCATCACTTATGACTCCTGTACTACCAATGTTGGTAGGTTACTGAGATTGCATTATTTACATAAAATCTCAGTGTTGGATTTAGAGAAGTTTCATAATGCTCTTTCTTTCAAATTGGGATACAATTTAAAATAAAACAGTTGATGCTTAGAAGAAGAATATAATTTATGCACTAAACAATACTACAATTTAGTGCTTTTAAAGTACCTGCACCTACAGATTACATAAATATTTAGATAATCCCATTACAATTTCTCAAGTTGAATATAGTCAGACTCAGTGACACAATTTCTAACATCAGTTTTCATTCTCTGATCCATAATGGAATCATGTATTTTACCCCCACTCATTTACAATCATCTTGTCTGTCAGTGTCTTTATTAGCAGTCTCTCCATTCATCCTATACAATTTGTGTCACATTTTTCTCCGGAACTACAAATCAGGTATTTCTGAAATTTGAAATCAAGCTTCCCATGAGCATGCTATACCTTATAATGCATTGTCACATTTATTTCTCATGAACTTCCTGTTTACAGAATTCCTATAGTGGCCATATATTTGGGAGCAATCAATAGCTTACAGTTCACTTGTTGACTAGATAACTATTCTTGTAGGCAGAAGCTTGTAGATCTGTGGAGTATGCCATGAAAAAATGTCCAAATGGAATGTATGCTGAGATAAAGTATGATGGAGAACGAGTTCAACTGCATAAAAAGGGAGATAAATTCTCCTATTTCAGTAGAAGCTTGAAACCAGTACAGCCTCACAAGGTACATTTTTGTAGGAAGAATGAATGTACATACATATTACTCTATGTATATATTTTATGTTTCAAAATATAGCAAATTTAAAAAGCAAGGACTCAACCTTATTTATAGATAATGAACATCAAAATGATATATTAATGCACTGCCCTTTGTTTAATAATGAAATTGAGAGTATATCTTTTTGTGTACATATTTGTTTGTCTGTTTGTTTGTTCAAAATTTGTAATAAGTATGAATTTGTGTGTTCTGCTCAAAGCCTTTCTCCTTTTATTTATAGTTAGTTAGGCTCAGCATCATTAAAGGGTCAAAGCTAATCTTTATCCTACTTATGTCTTCTGTTATATATATATATATATCTGTTTTTCAGGTGCAGCATTTTTCTGAGTACATTCCAAAAGCATTTCCATCAGGAGATGACCTCATTCTGGATGCTGAAGTTTTATTGGTGGATACAAAAACCAGCAAGCCTCTACCTTTTGGTTCTTTAGGAGTGCATAAGGTATTAGAACTGTCAATTTTATTACTCACCTTATAATATATCATATTATAATATTGTTTAGTTTTTCTGTATAATAAAGGTATGGTCAGTTGTTTTATGAAAAAATAAGTTATCTGAATACTAGAAGAAAATTAAGAACTTGAAGGTGAAGTACATTTGTGGCTTCATATGGCCTGTGAATTTACCAAAAATTTAATTTTGTATGATACCATTATTCATGTATCTTCAGTATGAAAATAAGGAGATTGTGGTTTTATTGCCAATAAAACAACTATATCCATGTAGAATGTAGCTTATATTTAAATGGTGAAATTAGTTAAGGCTAGCCGTCGCAACATAACTGTGACACCATTAATGTGATGCTATTTGGTTGATTTGCAAAATTAAAAAAATAGACTTTCAGGAATATTTCGGCTCAATTAACAGTGAGCAGATAATATGAAAAATACACTACCTTTATTTATATAAAATATCTTTTAGGGAAATTTTGATTTGTTAAAGAAATCTTCATATTGGTTTGTTAAGTTGCATTTGAAAACATGATTTTCAAAGAGAATTCTTAGTTCTGAAAAAAAACCAGATACTATATTTCTTTTCTAAAATGGTAACGACTGACTGTTTAAAAACCTTTTGCTTACAAGTGATGACTAAGAGATCCTGTTTTACAGCCTGCTGAATTATTAGATAGCTAATGCTATTTACTCATTTATACCTTAGGTTTATAACTTGCTTATCTTCTAAAGGTATATATCCAGTTTATATTTTACAGAAAGCTAAGTTCCAGGATGCACAAGTGTGTTTGTTTATATTTGATTGTCTGCATTTAAATGGGGAAAATATAATGCAAAAGTGAGTCTATAAATAGTATGAGAAGATATATGATTATCAATATGTATATAGATTAGTGTGAGTAATTATACCCCAGCTTTAAAAAAGTGGGGATATACTGTTTTACCTCTGCCTGTCCGTCTGTCCTTCCATCCGTCCGTCAGTCCATCCGTCAGTCCGTCCAATGAATATTTTTCGTCACATCTGTCTCAGGAACTACATCATAAGGATTTCTGAAATTTGGTTTCAGGGTTTATATAAGTCAGCTATACCGTATGATGCGTTTTCAGATTCATCACTTAACAACTCCCTGTTTACCAAACACTTACATATTTTTACACTATTAAAATTATCCACTTGTGGCGGGGGTATCATCAGTGAGCAGTAGCTTGCAATTTCACTTGTTTATATTGAATATGACAGTTGTTTTCCATTCGTTTGAGCTTTTGATTTTGCCATTTGATAGGAACTTTCTGTTTTGAATTTTCCTTGGAGTTTGATATTTTTGTTATTTTTATTTTTTATATTCCATGAATAAACATCTTTATGATAGCACTTTTGTCAGCTATTGTCTACTGTAAAAGAACAACTACTGCATTAGAAATATTTATCAGCTTAAATGGCTTCAAAAGAAAAAATGTTGTAGCAAGAGCAGTAATATATAAAATATATATGGTATTCATAAAAGTGTGTCTATAAACATTTCAAATTCAATTTATTAGTCTGTCATGTAAATGAAACAGCTGACTGATTTAAATCTTTAAGATAAATTGACAAGAGGTTTTACTGTATTTCCAGACCGATCAAAGAAAGGCGTAAAGTTCTACATGATGAAATGAAGGAGATTAAAAACAGAATTATGTTTTCAGAGATGAAATTAATTAAAGTAAGTGATGACATGTATAAAGGTCAATACAATAGTAAGTAAGTTCTGGAGCTCTGTGATCTGTGTTTATGAAGAAATTCTGTTTAAATACCCATTTTCATTCTTTTAAAAAAAATAATGCGAAGTAGGAATAAAAGGAGATGATGGTAAAGGTAATTGAGACAGCAACCCAAAAACACAATTACCTGAACAGCATCTAGAGGTCAACATACAGTCTTCAACAGTAGGCAGTCGAGGGCATAACTTAAACAAGTAACCTGTCCTAAGTCAGGAGCCTGTTGTTCAGTGGTTCATAAGTGTTTCTCATTTCTCGTTTTTTATATAGATTAGACCGTTGGTTTTTCTGTTTGAATTGATTTACACTAGTCATTTTGGAGCCCTTTATAGCTTGCTGTTTGGTGTGAGCCAAGGCTCCGTGTTGAAGGCCGTACTTTGACCTATAATTGTTAACTTTTTATACATTGTGACTTGGATGGAGAGTTGTCTCATTGGCACTCATACCACATCTTCTTATTTATAATTATTTTTAAATATAAATATAGGTAAGTTTATTATAAAACTACCCAGAAGAATCATTTTAAATCACTAAAGAAGCATGAACTACATGTATTTTTATAAATTTTATATAATTTTATGCCATAAAATAATGTAAAAACTTCACCAGTTGGACTCCGTGAATGTTAGTTTTTCAAAAGTGAATAACCCAACACATTTACCCCATCAAAAGACAGTAATTGTATAGTATCCCAGATACTTGAAAATAACCCATGGCCATTTAAAGAGCATTGTTACCATATATATCCCTACAGCCCTTTAAAGGGGCTTGTACATGATCAGGTACTGTACATTACAAATTTTTTCATAGTCAAATATAGTTAAAAAAGAACAAAAACTAAAAGATGATTGTACAAAACTGAGTGAAAGTATATTGTCTTTTAACAACCAAATGAATGTAGCAAAAACATTCCATTAATAATTTTCAGGACCCAGAAGACTTGCAGGATATGATGAATGATGTATTTAGACAAGGATTGGAAGGACTGGTGTTAAAAGATTTAAAAGTAAGAAATGTTATACCTCTGCATCCAGTATTTACTACTTGACTTAAAAATATGAAGGCTAAGAGTGCTTGACCAGTTTTGGTGATTTTTGTTTGGTTAGATATCCCTATATAACTGACATATATAGTTTATGTAATATACGTATAACATCCCCTCAGTATTTGAATTTGTATTAAACTGAAATAAAACAGGTATCTCTGATTTCTTGTATATTTACAATTTCATTTATTGCTCTTTTTATAAACTTTTCTTTAATGTTCTTTACTGTTTTGTATTTAGTACAGTAATTTTTTTTCATGTTTTTGTGCTTTGTATCTATCTGATGAGTTAAGCCCTTTTCAACTGATTTTTATAGTTTGTTCATATGTTGTACTGTTACACCACTGTCCAAGGTTAGGGTAGCATTGGGCGCCCCCTTACATGTTTAACCCTGCCACATTCTGTATGTGCCTGTCCCAAGTAAGGAGCCTGTTATTCAGTGGTTGTCGTTTGTTGCTGGATATCATATTTGTTTTTCGTTCATTATTTTGTTCATAAATCAGGCCGTTAGTTTTCTCATTTGAATTGTTTTACATTTGTCATTTCGGGGCCTTTTATAGCTGACTATGCGGTATCGGCTTTGCTCATTGTTGAAGACTATACCGTGACCTATAGTTGTTAATTTTTGTGTCATTCGGTCTCTTGTGGAGAGTTGTCTCATTAGCAATCATACCACATCTGCTTATTTTATATATACCTTACATTTACAGAGTGTATATGCCCCTGGAAAGAGGCATTGGTTGAAAGTGAAGAAAGATTATTTACAAGAAGGCACAATGGCTGACTCGGCAGATTTAATTGTTCTTGGAGCTTATTATGGTACAGGGAACAAAGGTAAGAAAAGAATTCAATTAATTTTTACTTCACATTGGGTTTTTTTTTATGAATAAGTATAAACATGCAATATCAATGGTCTATCAAAAGTAGTTATTCTGAAATGGATTTAATTGAAGCTTAACATTAGAGTTTTAGTGCTGTTGTCCACAGAAAATTAGCAGAAAAAAACAAAAAGGACAGTCATAAATAAAAATCAGATTTATAAGATAAGTCAAACTTTTAACAAATAATCTCTTTAAAAGAGAATTATAAATTTTTATAGCTTATTCATGCACAGCAGGCCGCTGCATACATGCCTTTAGAAAATTTGCATTTTCACATGTGATCAATGAAAATAAGAACTCGATGAATAATGTTGAATCCACAGTAGATTTTGCATCTCCTCATTTTAATACAAAATTTCAATAAGACCAAGACAATTTTGGCTTGCAAATATTTTTATTTCATAAAAGAAAAAAAATAAACAGAAGATACAAAGGTGATATTCAAAAGTTAGGAGAAACTGACAAGGCCATTGCAAAACCAAAAGACAACTATAAGACAAACCAGGAAAATATTTTATTTTTCTATGCATCTGTATATTGAAAAAAAGAAGTTATTTTAGACAGATACCCAAATTTTCCTATGAGTTTGAAAGTATAATTTTTTTCAATTTTATAATATAATGAGAAATACAAATGTAGCAACATTAGTGATAAAAGCAATTTTATATACTATATTTTGTTTAAAACCTGTAGTTTCATTCTTTCATGGCAGGTGGCATTATGTCCATATTTCTACTTGGAGCATATGACCCCCATACTAAGAAATTCTGCACAGTAACAAAATGCCACAGTGGTTTTGATGACAAGACGTTAGAAGAATTGCAGAAGGAACTTGATGTTGTCAAAATCAGCAAAGATGCTTTAAAAGTCCCAAATTGGTTGAATGTGAACAAGACCTTAATCCCAGACTTTGTGGTCAAAGATCCCAAAAAGTCACCAATCTGGGAAATCATGGGAGCAGAGTTTAGTCAGTCTTCTGCCCATACAGCTGACGGGATATCAATAAGATTCCCAAGAATCGCTAAAGTCAGAGATGATAAAACTTGGGAGAATGCTACTGATGTTCCAAGGTTAAAGGTCAGTTTTATAAAAAAAAAAAAAATTCTGGAATAGACAGTTATAAATTGTAAATATTAATTAAAATCTTCATATATTTTGTTAGCATTTGTTCTAAGCTGCTATTGATTTGATCTTTGTTATTTTATATCTAAACTGAAGGTGTGTGTGGTACATATTTTTAGTGATCTCTTTTTTCTGCAATCTTTCACATTTCTGTTTTACATTTTTCATGACATATTTTGTGATTGAATCTTGTCAATTGAAAAATGAGACTTATCTAACAATGTATTTTGGCATAAGTGTAGAAAATGTCTAATTACATATTAATATTCATTTCAGATTTTGTTTAAAAAGTCCAAAGAGACATCAGACATGTTTCCTCCAAAGAAAGGGAAATCCCCTGCAGCCACACCAAAAAAGACGAAAATTGGAGATGATGATGATGATAGCGGTAGTTCAACTGAGGATGATGGGAATAATAACAGCAATGAGACCCCTCCAGCCACACCCACTAAAGGGAAATTCCTTGCAGCCACACCCACTAAAGGGAAATTAATCATGAAACAAGATATCTCAGATGATAATGTGATAATAACACCCCAAAAGGCCTCTCCCACTAAAGGGAAATCACCTATTAAACGTCAAGCCTCAGATGTTGATGATGAGAGAGAACATAAACCATCATCAGCTAAGAAGAGCAAGGTATGGAAACTTTTAAAGTTAAATATACAAGTCATTAGTCAATAGATGAAACTTATAGTTAATATTTTCTGTGTCTGAAGCACTTTTACAGATATACCTTCATCAGGAAAACTCAAACCAAAAACATTGAAAACCATGAATGAGGAATACTTAAGCAGGAGCTAAAGGGCCAACAGAGACAGAAAAAGAATAGCCAAATCAATCTTAAGGTCATTAAAGGGTATTAGCTGTCAAATTCATGTTCACCGATTTGACTGAAATTCCAACATTTGATTTATAACATACTAAAACGTATATCAAAATTTCAAAAAGTCTTAAATAAACAATTAACAATGAATGGACTCGATAATATGTATCAGCATTTCGTGTGTAAATTGTTCATACTTATTTCACTTTCTTTGTTGACATTCTTTTTCTTTTAAAGATGAACAAGCCTAGTACATGGGTAACTCATCTTCAGCTAAGGGGTTAGATTAAAGGTCACATGAATACGGATTGTATGAGTACACCAGCAATTTTTTGAGTTTATTTTGACAAATTTGGGCCAAACTGACTGCTTATAACGAAATATTATTTCAAAATTCAGCTTTTATTAATACTTGAAACATAAAGAATCATAATTTATTTTTTTGTCAAAATCGTAGCTAATGCCCCTTTAAATCTTATTCAATCCTTGCATAAGTTTTGAAAATTTTCACATATATGAAAACAGTAATGTTCAGAAGGTTGACTTGCAATTTGTAGATATTAGTTCTGGACAGTCTATTTACAGAAAGTTTTAAGTATAGTCATATTCCTTTGTATAACTATTAATATTGATTGCTTGAAAAGTTACTGAACCTTATTGGATTGACCGCAAATTAAATATTTGGATTTTTAATTTTTTATTATTTCCTCAATCTGCAACAATTGATATCCATGAGAATATATGTATCCACAGGAAGTAAATATTAAAAAAAAAATTAACCACATTAAAATATGTATATTGTCAGACGTTTCATATCAAATGATTTAATTAACAGCTAAATGCTAATTTATATGCATTTTTTTGTTTTTTTTATACTGTAAATTAAATTATTGTATTTGCAACCAAAAATGTCGGATTTTGTGTTTTCAGGTGAATGCATTATGTAACTATGGTGATTACTGTTACCAAAAGAATCCAGACCATTTAGAGAAGTTTTATCATCCTAAAAAGGTAAGTAAATAACAGGCATGAGACATTGATCCATATGTGAGAAGACATACCCCATTCACCTTTTTGCTCAATAGTAAAAAAAATCACCAAAGAAAGGATATTTCGATCAATTTTTAATTTGAAGAAGGCAAATTTATAAAAAGACAGTCATTTTCTTCCATTTAAATGAAAAGCCTGAGATTATCTTTCAATTGTGAATGAAAAACATATGTTACAAAAGCCAATATCTGTATTGACTACGATAGCCTAAAAGAAAACTTTCTGAAGCAGTTGTTTAGTAATGTCTTTTTTTATATATTTGAAGTTTTGCTGACTTTACTGTATGATTTTATGCCATTGATACAAACATACTGTCTTTTATATTGCTAGAAATGCAATTAATAAATTGATATTTGTATATCCCAATATTAGTTTGGAAAGAATTAGAAGGAAGACATTAATTAAATAAATTGACAAAAAGGAAGATTATAATTTTAAAAGGACAATATCATAACCTTTTTTGGCATTTATCATTTGTAATGATTGACTTGCTAAATGTCCAGTGGCAAATATTTCCTGCATATTTAAGGACAAGAAGTACTTATTAAGGCAATGTAGGTTCAGCAAGGTAGGTGGATTTGGGTGATAGGCAGGACGTCCGGACTGTCATTGGAAAATGAGGGATTTGGAAAGGGACAGAACTTTTGCCTTGCAGCTGTCAACATACTGACCCACAGAAAATTGTTCAACTTATAAACAATATTGTCCCACTCACCCTACTTGGGGCATCTGATTTAACGTCTCTTATCAAACCAGATGTGTATCTTTTATATAAATTTATCACAATGCTCATTCTAGATGTAATGGAAAGATGGATGAAACATTGATGTCTTGTATTCTGTGGATTTATTTATAAATTTTGTGGGCATTAATTTTCATGAATTGAGGAAAAATTGTATATTTGTGGATATTTGATTTCATGTTTTTGGTAAAGTCTGAATAAAATCCTATAGAAGATTGTATTTTGTTGATTATTTAAATTTCTGGTTTACCTATAGCCAGGAAATCCAAAAAGAATGGTATTCCATGAATAATAATGAATCCACAGTACAATAGAATACAATGGTAGAAATCTGTAGTTAAAGGGCTGATTTAACTATACCCAGCACAGAAAATGTACAGCACTTTCAACCTCTTAAAAACTTCAGTGGTCATGTGTAACAGTACTTGCAATTGGAAGTCTTAAGTTTGATTGCCAACCCATTCAAAACTTAGACATTACATTTGTATTTGCTGCTTTTACACCAAGCACATGACATTTGGGAGTAAAAGGAAAGACTAACTGATTGAATGTCTAGTAAGTTATGAATCTGATGTAGTGTGTCCTCTGATATAATGCAATTTTATCTCATTGAAACCATTTTGCCCGGACATTAGAGACAGAAAGCACTCATTAATCAATCAATAATTACAAAATGTGTAATAACTTTTTCATTATATTTGAAACATATATGATACATGGTTACAGAGTTTACCTGACGTTTTTAATGGAGCAAAGATTTGTATCCCAGAGAAGATCAAAGATTACAGAATATTAAAGAGATTTGTTATTGGGTATCCTTTTCAATATAAAGAAAGCCAATGAAGGGTTGAGCATGTCTTAGATAACTCAAGTATTGTTACTGTTTAAGGAAAAACGGCACTAAAAACAGGAGAAAGAACATCCTTTGTTTTATATATAATTTACCTGAAGTGGTATATAATTTACTACCATGTAACATTTTTGTTGTCCCCTGCCATTATTACAAAGTAATAATCCTTGTCAGTCCGTCGGGCCACACATTATACAAGAGATTGAAGAGCGCTTTGATTAAATTTCATGAAGCTTGCATGGAATATTTGAAATGGTGGCAGAAAGGTTACTTTCAATTTTTAAGCAGTTAAGCTGCTTTATGCGAGCACCCTAGATTTGTGTTCTACCCAATAAATGCTGAAATACGTGCCATCATTATTATCTAGCTGGCTATTATGTTATTTATAACTAATTAAACACTTTTTTCATACTTTTAATTCTGGATTACAAAAAATATGAGCAGAAAAACCTTAAATGATCGTCGAATCACCCAAAAGTTTTGAAGTTGCACATAGGAAGAAGTGCACAATAGAAATACTTATGAAGTTTATTATCCCCTGTGCTTTTGGCTAAGTTGTCAAAGAACAATTGTATGAATTATTTCATCGCCGAAAATCTCTAAATACAAGTCGTTTACATTTGACAAATTGCAAAAAGCGCAGGAATATTGTATAACGGCTGGGACAAATATGACACAAAGTCTCGGTTGGCGGTAATTTTAACTTCGTCGACAAAACGTAAATCAAGGACGTTTTAAATTTGGTGGATTCTGATAATACACGGGTAATTATTACTAATATTTTTATTTTAGATTAGTGTGATTATTAAAATCATCTTAATTAAATATATGCTCATTTGTATTCTTGTTCGTCAAAACAAGTTGTTATTTATGAATGAAATCAAACTAGAGATCTGATTGGTCGATGTCAAGGTCATTTCAAGATGGTTTCCTTTGTGTTTTTAATTCAGGCTTTGGTGTTACAGACTGCTACATGTGCTTTGATTTAGCTAAAGGTGCTTCAAACAATATTTAGATTAATACTTTATCAATAATTTGCTATAGGACGGCATTATTTAACTTCCAAAGTCGCATATTTTTGTAAAATATTAAGTACGAATTTGTGACGCGTCTCACACCGTAATTGTTTTTGATTTACAATGATTTTTCATATTTCTGGTGTTTCTTCTTGTGATTTTTTCATATTTAAACACTCGTAAAGTGTTCTAGAATCATTTCGATGCATCTTTCAGCAAATAGTTATCAAAGGTACCATTGTAAATAAATGATAAATAAGCTGTATTTATAGTCGGCAAGGTATACAAACGTTGTATTTTAGACTTAGTCTTAACGTTTTCAACAAGTTTAAACATTATTTATTTATTTGTATTTGTTTTTATTTCAGCTTTATTCCAATCTTTAGGAATGGCTAATACTAGAAGAGGCAAGGCATGCATGTACATGTGTAATACATGATTATCTGTAGCAACTGGATTGTCTATTCACCACAATAATTCCATAATAGCAATGAAACTCTAGACTACTATGATGTTATGAAGATATTTACATGTATATCTACATACCGGTATATGATCAATTTTGAAGATTGTTTATGCCAGGTCTCATCATGTTGACTAGTCCGACAAGTTTTGGTTCAGCTTTCTGACAGGAAATATTATAAACTTGCCAGCAGTTACAACACATGAAAATTATTTGTTATTAAGTGTGCCTATCGGTCTAGCAATTTTTAGAGACTGTTTAATGATACTTTCAGAACTATGATCATGATATGTCAGATTCTGTGTAACTGTTACTACAAAAGGAGATATATATTATTGTGCACTAAGAAGTATGCCAAGTTATCAGAAACTTTTTGCATGAAGTTATATAAAGATAGTTGGAATTCATGATATTGATGCATTGTACACATGAAATATTTTAGTTTAATTTATATTCTAATTAACAGTCCAAGAGTTAGGTTAAATTGTACCAAGGAGAATTACTTATTACCATAATTACACAGCAGTATTTTGATTGTGGATTCTTTTCAATTTTATTATTTACTGAATGCATATTTGTCACTTGTTTAATGCCTTGTTCACACATATGTTTAATTTGAATTGAATGCGAAACCGAGTTCACACAATCTTCTTTATTTTATTTCGAATTGAATCCAAAGTCTAATGCAAATCGAGTTCACTAATCGCGTTCAGATGTGGATACTAAAAAATTCCAAAGATCTTTTAGAGTACATACAATCTAAGACTCTCTCATCTTGCAATAGTATTAAAACATTTGACTTTTCTACACATTACACAAGTATTCCCCATTCCAAACTAAAAGACAAATTGAAAGAGTTGGTATTACTTTGTTTCATTAAAAAGAATGGCGAACGTAGATAAAAGTATCTTGTCTTGGATAGGGATAAATCCTACTTTGTAAAGAATCACTCTGATTCAAACAAAAAATTCTCTGAAACTGACATTATCAAGATGCTTGATTTCTTGATTGACAACATATTTGTTACGTTTGGAGGACGTGTTTTTCAACAGACTGTCGGAATTCCAATGGGAACTAATTGTGCCCCTCTTCTTGCTGACTTGTTTCTTTATTATTATGAGGCTGACTTCATACAGGAACTTCTTAGGAAGAAAGATAAGAAGTTAGCAATATTCTTTAACTTTACGTTCCGCTATATTGATGATGTTCTCTTACTAAATAATACAAAATTTGGTGACTATGTTGAACGAATCTATCCCATCGAACAAGAGATAAAGGATATTACAGATACAGTTAAGTCTGCCTCATATCTTGACTTACATCTAGAAATTGACAATGAGGGTCGGTTGAAAACAAAACTTTACGACAAAAGGATGATTTCAGCTTCCCAATTGTGAACTTTCCATTTATATGTAGCAACATTCCAACAGCGCCTGCATACGGAGTATATACCTCCCAATTGATACGATATTCCCGGGCTTATGTTTCCTATCATGATTTTCTTGATAGAGGATTGCTGCTCACAAGGAAGCTATTAAACCAAGAGTTCCAAATGATGAAGTTGAAATAATCCCTTCGTAAATTTTACGGACGCCATCACGAGTTGGTTGACCGTTATGGAATAACCGTTTCACAGATGATATCGGATATGTTCCTTATGTCGTAACTACACTACCTTTCCCTTTTCATGAATGGGACTTACCGAATAAGAATATTTACCCGATTTGTAATTACACAAGCAACACGATGGGTGCCACATGTGGAGCAGGATCTGCTTACCTTTCCGGAGCACCTGAGATCACCCCCAGTTTTTGGTGAGGTTCGTGTTGCTTAGTCTTTAGTTTTCTATGTTGTGTCATCTGTACTATTATTTGTCTGTTTGTCTTTTTATTTTTGGCCATAGCGTTGTCAGTTTGTTTTCGATCTATGAGTTTGACTGTCCCTCTGGTATCTTTCGTCCCTTTTTCACATACGCTTGTTTTTTTAATTCAAATCTAATTCAAATTGGCTAATTTGCATTATCGAATTCTCATTAGAAATATGCTTTTTGTTAATACTCTGGTGTGGACACTTTTTAAATTGTAATTTGAATTAAACTATAATAAATTAATTGATAAATTGAATTCAAAGTTAACATCATTTGGACAGTAAAGCGATATTGACGCGTATTGCAATTCGAAGTAGAATTTACTTTTGGACATTAAACATGTTAACTGTTTCGAATGCATATTAAACTATTTCAAATCAGTTAATGCGAATCAAAATCGAATTATGTGTGAACGCAGCATTGATATATATATATATATATATATATATATCTAAGAGATGAAGAATATGAAAATATTAAAAAAAGATGGACAAAATATTTGTATTAAATTTGTTGCAATTTTTGTCTTGCCTTGACAGAGTCAAACAGAGAGACAAATATATACAAGTCTAAATTGAAAACAACGTTCAAACCTATGATTGCGTTGGATAAAAACCGCAATTTTTATACGTGTGCATGCAAAATAAATTTCTTGGTAGAGGGGTCTAAATACAGCACAAACAACATTTTCCAACAGACCAAATGAGTGAAAAAGTATATTTTAACAAAACGCATTTGACTAGCAGGTCGAACAACTGATGTTCTTAAACCCTGCTGACTGCCATTGGCGATTGCCAAATAAACAGATCACAAGATGTAACAGCATAGATCTTATTATTAATTTATTACCAAACAGAAAACAATAAACTTGCGGAAAAGATAGTATACTGCAAACATGAGGTGCAAAATTTTGTACACCATATCCCGATTTTGACAATTAATGTCTCTTCAGTGATGTTGGGAATCGAAACGGTATTTGGAAGGCCATATAATTTACCTCAATTTAGGATAGACTCTTGAATTTTGAAAGAGTCAAAATTGGATGAACGGATCATATAAACCCGAAGGCAAATATATATATATATATATGCATGCTGTTTTGGCGGCATCAACAATGTATTAGTTTGTGATTTTTGTCTAGCATGTGACTTTTGTCGCAGAAAGCTTGACATAGGGATAGTGATCCGGCAGAGGCGGCGGCATTAGCTAACTTCTTAAAAGCTTTATATTTTAGAAGGTAGAAGACCTGGATGCTTCATACTTTGTATATAGATGCCTTATGTTACGAAGTTTCCGTCTGTCATATGTCCATTGTCCTTGACCTCATTTTCATGGTTCAGTGACTACTTGAAAAAAAGTCAACATTTTTTGTAATGTTAATTTTTTTCTTATTATGAGTAATAGGATAACTATACTTAGTATGTGCGTACCTTGCAAGGTCCTCATGCCCATCAGACAATTTTCATTTGACCTCGACCTCATTTCATGGATCAGTGAACAAGGTTAAGTTTTCGTGGTCAAGTCCATATATCAGATAATATAAGCAGTAGGTCTACTATATTTGGTAAATGGAATGATTGTAAGGTGTACATGTCCAACTGGTAGGTGTCATCTGACCTTGACCTCATTTTCATGGTTCAGTGGTCAAAGTTAAGTTTTTGAGTTTTGGTCTTTTTTTCTAATACAATATGCAATAGGTCAACTATATTTGGTGTATGGAAATATTTTATGATGAACATGTCAGTCTCGCAGGTTTTATTTGACCTTGACCTCATTTTCACGGTTCATTTCTCAGTGTGAAGTTTTGTGTTTTGGTCTGTTTTTCTTCAACTATAAGCAATAGATCAACTATATTTGTTGTATGGAAGGATTGTAAGGTGTATATGTCTGTCTGGCAGTTATCATCTGACCTTGACCTCATTTTCATGGTTCAATGGTCAATGTTAAGTTTACCTGGTTAAGACTGTTTCTTAGAAACTATAAGCAATAGGTCAACTATGTTTGGTTTATTGAATGATTGTAAGGTGAACATGTATTTCTCGTTTGGTTTATCTGACCTTGACCTCATTTTCTTGGATCATGTTAAGTTTATGTGTTACTTGTAGTAAAGCTTTATATTTAGGACTATCAAACATAAAATCAATGGTTAGTAAAGAAGGCGAGACATTTCAGCGTGTGCACTCTTGTTAGATAAGGTATAGTTTATGGTAGGTCAATGATATTTGGTAAGCAGTTGTGTTAGCATAGGCACATCTCATTACGGTACCATGGAGAATATTTGGCCCCACCCCCTTAGTCATGGTCTATTGACTTTGAAACTTTGCATAGTTTTACTTACATGTATAAGTTTGTGATTAGGTCAGTTTAGGGGGAACCACTAATGGTAGGTCAATGATATTTGGTGTGCAGTTGTATAAACTTTGTCATTTCTAATTTCCATTGAGATTATTTGCCCCCGCCCCCTCAATCATGCTCTTTTTACTTGGAAACATGCGTTATTTTGAAATTTCATTTATTAGCTTTTGATAAGGTTAGTATTAGGGAAACCAATAGTGGAAGGTTAATGATAATTGGCCTGCAGATGTAGAAGCAATAGTACGTCTCATTTCCATAGAGGATATTTGGTCGTTACCCCTCAGTCATATGCATGATCTATTGACTTTGAAACTTTTACTTAGTTTACATGAATTATTTTGTGATTATTATGATTATGCCAGTTTAAGATTACCAGTAATCTTAAGTCAAAGCTATTTGGTATGAGGATGTATTGGTATTTAAAAGTTTCATTTCCATGGATATTATATAACCCCAACCCCTCATTATGGTTCATTGACTTAGAAATTTAATTTGTGTTAAGGTTTGTTTAAAGGGAACGACTTATGAAAAGTCAATGGTATTTGGTAAGCAGTTGTATAAGCATTGGCACATCTCATTTCCATGGAGATTGATACACACTGTACCATCAGTCATGGTTCATTGTCTTTGAATATCGCTTACATGTTAATGTATTTCTATTATAATTGTAACATTTGCATTATCAAAATAACAAATAGGCAAAACATGTCTCTGTGTTAACAGCTTATTATAGATTAGACAAGTACAATTATTATAAAAATAAGAAGATGTGGTATGATTGCCAATGAGACAACTATCCACCAAAATTCAAATGACTTGGATGTAAGCAATTATAGGCAACCGTACAGCCTTCAAAAATATGTGTTGCATCATTGCTAGGCCATTATAACAACATCAGCATTTATTGTAAATTACACCAATTCAGATAGTTTCAGATATGATTAGATAATTGTGCATAGTGGCACCAGCTGATTCAACTAAAACCACTAATATGGCATATTCAAACTCTAGTACATGTACATAGTGGAATTAAACCATACACCACTGTTGGACACCATTTATTGAAATTATTATTCTGATAAGAATATTCATCCATGCAGACTGCAACAATTAGCAAAACCTACATGTATACTGCATAGTAAGCTATAAACGACCAAGAAATGACAAATGTAAAACAATAAAACTAAAGCAGCCTGATTAATGTACGAAGCATTTATGAAAATTAAATATATACATGTATATACAGCAACAATCAACAATCACCAAACTCCTGGGTCCTCACTATGGACAGGTGCATACAGAATGTGGTGGGTTGGGTTCTCAATATGGACAGGTGCATACAGAATATGGCTGGTTATACATGTTAGCTGGCACAAAACTCTTCCCTAATATGGGACAGTGTATGTGCATAATCTCAGACATTGAATCTTTAAAAAATAAATTGGAAATAACTTTCGAAAGTGGTAGGATTGGATAGCAGAAACATTACGATACAAACATTATTTGATACTTGAGAAATAGCTGAGATAAACATTTTCACCAATTCTTCCACAATATTCATCTTAACATCTGCCAAGTTTGCCTTTGGTTTTATAATTAACTGCCCATAGCGCCCTTGGTGCTTTGATTTTTTTTTTTGAAATTTGTAATTTTTGAGTTATGGGACTTTTAACTGTCAGATTTATGACAAATTTTCACATACAACACTATCTCAACAATTAATAATACAATGTTTTGTTGCAAATAATATCTAACAGATTACCTTTTCTACAATATAATACACTTTAATTCAATATTTTGCCTTAATACATGTAAGATTTGATGGTGATGTAGTACCAGAGTACAGTGCTGAAAAAGCCAGTCACATCATAGTAGAATCAGGAAAAACTGTAAGTAATAGTAAGTCTAGAACAATGAACATTAAATTTCCTCCTTCTGTATTAAGAAAATATTGTATAGAAGATATTACAAGTATAAATTGGTTTTAGCCAGTCTGTTTTAGATTAACATGTGCAGCTGTGAATGGTTTGTATTGATATGATCAAATATTTTAGGATTATTTGTAGCACAAAGCAAAATTTTCAAATCACATTTTTTGCTTGCCTGCATCTGAAGCAAATATCTAATTCACCATTTTTCTGCATTTTACTGATGGACTTAGTTTTTTGGCAGTTAACCTTTTGATGCAGTCTGAGCCTAAAGATTTTAAAACCTTCATAGAATTCTACAAAACTTGTACAGAGGCTTCTTCATAATCAGATACACAAGGATAGCGCCTGTTTAGCTCATCTGGCCCAAAGGGCCATGTGAGCTTTTCCAATCACTTGGTGTCCGTCATCTGTCGTTGTTGTCGTCTTCGTCGTCTTTTACAAAGATCATCTCCTCGAAACTACTGAGCCAAATTTTACCAAAATTGGCCACGAGCATCATTGGGGGTATCTAGTTTAAAAAATGTGTCAGATGACCCTTGCCAACCAAGATGGCTGACATGGCTAAAAGGAGAACATATGGGTTAAAATGTAAGTTTTGTCTATTAATCTGAAAACCTCTATAGATAGAGAAAATCTGACAGGGGCAGAAATGTTAGAATTTGAGCTCTACCTATTATCTATTCACCTCAAAACTGTCAATTTCTTATTGGAGTTAATGCCCTAAAATGATGAATTTTACTACTTTTTTTTCATTTGCCTAATATCTTGAAAACTATAATAGATAGAGAGAAACTTTAAACAGCAAAATTGATCAACAAGACAAGATCTTCAAATAATTCATAATAGCGGAAATTGTAAATCACTCTTTATTAGAGTTATTGCCCTTTAATGACAATTTTTACCATTTTTTTTGGCGTTTTTGCCTAAAATCTTAAAAACTACAATAGATAGATAGAAAACTTTAAACAGCAATAGTGATCAGCAAGACAAAATCTAGAAATAAGTCTAAACGACTCGTTATTGAAGTTATTGCTCTTTATTGACGATTTTTACCAATTTTTTGCGTTTTTGCCTATTATCTTGAAAACTATAAAAAGATAGATAGAAACTTTAAATAAAAAAAAATGATTTGCAAGACAAGATCTACAATTAGGTCAAATTCTGCAAAATAAGTTAGTAGATAGGAGTTATTGCCCTTAAATGACGATTTTTGTTTTACCCTCTTTTGTGTTTTGGGCAAAAACTAAATAAGATAGAGAAAAACTGTAAACAGTAGTCTACAATGTTGAAGGTGCGCATAGACCTAGGTGAGTGACACAGGCTTTTTAGCGCCTCTTGATTTTATACAAATTTTTATTGGTATCATGTTGTCGTCGTCAGCATCGTTCGAAGACATTTGGTTTCCGGACAATAACTTTAGTAAATGTAAATAGAAATCTATGAAATTTAAACACAAGGTTTATAACCACAAAAGGAAGGTTGGGATTGATTATGGGGGTTATAGTCCTAACAGTTTAGGAATTAGGGGCCCAAATAAGCATTTTTCTAGTTTCCAGACAATAACTTGTGGAACAGTGTATGAATCTCTCTGAAATTAGACCACAAGGTTCCATACCACAAAGGGATGGTTAGGATTGGCTTTGGGGGGTTATGGCTTATGAAAAAAAAATTTTTTTTTTTTTTAGGGGGGGAGGGGGGGGTCAATTTGCAACAGCATAGTGTATTGCACAAAAGCAAAAAATTGAATATAAATTCAAATCATATAACCAATTCTAAATTCTACAGTTATTCTTTGTCAGAAACCTATTTAGTTACAATCCAGATTCAGACCTGTATCAAGCGCGAATATTGTGTCCATTTTTGCCCCAACTGTTCAGGGTTGGACCTCTGTGGTCGTATCCAGCTGCGCTCGGCGAAGCAATTTTTTTGATTTTTCTAAATTTTACTGAAAATAGATTTATTAACTTGTCAATGTTACACTTACACTTTACTCTGACATCAATAGTCACAAGCAAGACACAGGGTTTTAGGAAACTCTTTACACAGTTTTATTCTAGAACATTTAGCAGGTAACAGGCAACAGGTCTATCCTTTTAGAGGAAAAATTTTTCCAATCATCTTCAAGACAATATCACCTGGTCAGCTGTCATTTGTACCTGAAGTTAAGTAATTTTTTGAAAGAGATTATGTTGCTATAATAATATTTAAAGTCATCAAAATCCAAATATATCAACATTATATAGCACAGTCAATTTTATAACCAGTTGATATCTTATGTCCAAACGCATGCAAAATAAGTAACCAATTACTTTATATATAGATAACATGACATTAAGGACAATTACAATCGTCATAAATTACCACAAGCAATTGTTAATTCTGGTCTACATGTTTCACCATGTTTTACCTTGTTAAAAGATAAATGTGAATACCTTTAGGTATCCACCCTTAATTTACCCTGCCACACAGTCACCTCTTAGGGTATTGGTTCACCATATATAATTTCAGTTTATATACAGATTAAAGGGGAATTAGCTACGAGATATAAACAAAATTAAAATATGATTTGTATTTGTTCTATCATTAATGAAAGTGAAATAGTGAAATAACAATTTGCTTTAAGCAGCCAGTTTGGTTCAATTTTGTCAAAATAAGCTAAGAAACATCTCTGATGAAAGATTCACATGCAGGTAAATAATTCGACCTCATTGAATCCATATTCATGTGACCTTCAATTTAACCCCTTAGCTAGGGATGTGTTACGCATAAACAAGGCGTGTTCAGCTATTAAAAGGAAAAGAATGTCAACATTGAAAGTAAAACCAGGGTAAACTATTTGGTTGACTGATTTGATCCACAAAAACTCATTCTTTTACAGGTAAAAACGATGATTAACTTATTTTTTTAACCTTCAATATGAAATCAAACATACCTAGAAAAATCCATTACACATGTTCGCTATCTATTTATATCTATATTTATTGTTATATCAGGTTAAATGACCGTCGGCAGTCTTTGGAGGTCACTTCAATGGTTGATTAGATGGCGTCTAGACTAAAATACACATGAAATGCTGATACATATTATCGAGTACATGCATTGTAAATTGTTTATTTTAGACTTTTTATAATTTGGATATACATTTTAGTATGTTATATATCAAATATGAGAATTTGTGTCAAATCAGTGAACATGAATTTGATAGCTAATGCTTCTTTAAAGGCCATAAAACAGATGCAAGATTTCGAAACTTTGTAGGATAAGTACTTGCAGATTGTTTGCATGTTAAAAAGATAATTGTTCATACTTCAGAACTACAGTTTCTCCTAGATTTTATGGTTGGGTGGTGAATTCATTTACATTTATTGTGCATGAAACTAACATATAATAGCAATATTATGAACAGTGACAATTTATGACAGTTCCTTATTGACATTTTAACTATATCATTATGTAGACTTAAAAACTTATGTAATGTATTTCCAGGCTCCAAGCACAAAGGGCAAAGGAGTATGTGTAACAGTGGACTGGCTGATTAATAGTATCAAGAAAAAGTCAATACAACCTACAAAGACTTATCTTGTCACATGATTCTGTACAAAACCTGTCAAAATCACATGATTTTTAAAACTTTGGTCACATGATTAGAGGATGTTGATTTTTTTGACTGAATGAAATTTTATCTGAATGTTTTGAATGAGTGAGATTTCAGTTTATAGAGTATCATCTTTTTCCTTGACTTAAGATTTCCAGATCATAATTGACCACATAATTATTTAATTTTATGTCATACTATATGCTCATTTTAACATGTGTAAGCTTTATATATGTCAATATCTATATATCCAGCATTTGAAAGGTGTGAAATTTGCCAAATATAATGCCAACCCATGTTAAAATGTGCATAGAGCATGACATGAGAGACTTTTTGATTCAATAGGAAAATTTAGAACTTTTTGGAGTGCAAAGCAGACCTATAAGACATGTTCAAAGAAAGGCATTTTGATTGATTATTAATGCAAAAACTGTGCAAAAAACAAAATGTTTCACTATTGAAAGTTTACAACTTACTATTTTCCCTCCTAGGGAATTTTTCATTTGTCTAAAATATAGTCAAAACCACTTAAGGTATGATTATTTTAAATTTGTGAACAAGGCTTAAATATTTATTTTGCCATTTAGTAACTAAACATGGGAATATTCAAGCAGCTTTATTTTGCTTATTGTTTGGTGAAATCAAGCCATTAATTGCTGTCCTCTATTTGCACAATTACTAATAGGTGTTCAACGATTGACTTGAAAGCTTGTAGCAAGATCAAGCCGTCCACTTAATCTGCAGTATTTCCAATCCTGCATCACCTACTAGTGTGTAAAGTACTTACCTCATTAAAGATATGGTTGTGTGAATAATCTTGTGTATATTTATTGTATACATCATAGTTAAGTGTTATCAGGGTTAAATTTCAGGTTGTCATTTACATGACTTGATACTTTTTTTGTAGTTACAGAAAACCATTATGTGTAAACCATTTTCCTTGAAAAGGGCCAGGTCAATTAGAATTTTATCAGTAGTTCTTTGTTATATTGTTATGTATTGAAATCAATGCTGTCAAGAGAACACTGCAATTGCTTAGATTTCACATATAGGTTTGCCTGAGTAATTTTGGATTCAACCATAAATATTTAAATTACTCTTGACCTAATTGAAAGAGAATTGCCCACTTTCATGAAAATGTAAACATGTAAATGGATTTTTTCGCAATTTCCACAATCAATTTGAATAATATTTAACATACATGTATATATCCTGCTTGGACAAACGTTTATTTAAAAACCTGAATAAAGTCTCTATGGTCGGGTTGTTGTCTCTTTGACACATTCCCCATTTCCATTCTCAATTTTATATTTATATTTGAATAAAGAGAAAAGAGATATCGCAATAGAGGAAGGCTTACTCTGTGCAATTATTTTTGGTTAAAGTGCATTAGAACACTTCCACAAAAATGTATGTTGTTTATTTTATGTAAAGAACTTATTTTCCAAAGTTTACTCATTGTTATAGCTTTATGCTATTCTGTACTTATTTTTAGAAATTTTACATAGGGGTTTATAGCTATATTTATATTTTTGAAATTCAAGATTTTATTTTATGTAACAGATTCTATTAATTTAGAACCTAAAGTGATATTGTGTATTAATGAGAATATTTTACCGACTGACTTACTGTAAGTAATAATTTCTATTATACTGGTAATATTATTTTATGCTAGTAATATTGATAAACATGCACAGGAGTTACATTGGATAACTGTACATTAATGTCAGTTGTAAGAAGTTCACATTTATAAATTTACAAGTTAGATTCTGAGTTTGCAGGTTAGTTGCGATATTTTTAGCTGCTGAATTTTGATGACTTAATACATAAACATATTTTTTTTGCATAAATACTCTTTAGTATCAAACGGGCATTTTACAAGGTGAAAGAATTTATACTGCTTGATCAGTTTAACATTTGAATTTATAGATTCTTTTGATTGCTGGGATTGGTTAAAGTTTTCATGTACAGACATTTCGAATGAATAAGTTAACTCATACAGATTGTATAAGTACCTTAGTTTTTTTAATGCCATTGAGTTGCTGTCCCCTTGGCATATAATCCTGTCTATTCATCCTCATTTTAAGAAATCCAGTTTAACGATTTATTGAACACCACCATGCAATACATTCCATTTTAATCAGGATTCATTGCAATATTTCAAAATTGTTGCCTTATTGCTGTATATTTTGATCTTCATAAATTATTTCATACAAATTTAATTAGCTTATTTCAATCATCTATTACATGTTTTAATGTCTTAAGTTTTTTTTTTCTTCATTTCAAATTGTTTTGTTATTTGTAATTGTATGTTAGAGGCAGCAAGAATAAACTTTCTTTTTCTATTTATGATTTTCTTGTTCATGTTAGGGAAAAAACAGCATCTTATAGTACCTGTTTATTAGATACAGATTTTGTTATACCCTCTTTCTTTTTGAAGTAGGAGGTATATAGTTAAAGCGGTGTATCTTTTTGTCCATTCATACATCTAACCGACTGTTTTCCACTTTTGGAACTTTCACAGCATCTTGCTCATATTGCACCTTCTATTTCATTTCTTCACCCAAAGATTTTGGGTTTACTTTGGCATGAAATGGACTTTGCCATATTCACACACTACACTACACATTTGTATACTACCATATTCACACACTACAGTACACATTTGTATACTACCATATTCACACACTACACTACACATTTGTATACTACCATATTCACACACTACAGTACACATTTGTATATACTTGTCCTCTTATTTCGTTATTAGAATTTGATGAAACATTCTGAGAAACTGAATCATGTGATGCTATTGTGCACTTCTATTTTGTTATTTATCTGAATTATTTTTGTGTTATTCAAAGCAAATCATAGACACTCTGTCATTGCCATTGCTTTATGGTGGAATGGAAGTTCACATTTTGGTAGTTTTGCTCAAGGTACCTCTATTTTTATTGCCCGAGACTGCGTTTTGGAAATCTTATGAGTGCTGTTTTTGTGCAATGTTGAAATCAACAATTTATTAAGTTTGTGATTATGTCAGTTTAAGGGAAAAACCTCATGATAAATCAGTCATATTGGGTATGAAGTTGTATAAACCTTCTCACATCTCATTTCCATGTAGATTATTTGACACCCCTCTCTGTCTTGTTCTATTGAATTTAAAACTGCAAAATTGAACTTTTTTAATATTCAATTTCGAAATACAAAAAGTTAAGCCCAGTCAACTGTATAAAATGACTTGGATGCTGGAGATGTAATATTTTTAAGGATCATTTGGCCACCACATGTTTGGGACATCATCTGGAATACAGAAAAAATATCAAACATTTAGTTATATGAATGTAGCAATAGCTTAAATAAGTTTTTTCAGCATGTCAGAAAAGTAAAAATCAATAAAAGCAGATTTAGGGTATACTTTTATGAGACAGCAACCCAAAAGCAAAATATTCAGATACCATATAGAAGTCAACAATCTTCTTCCCCTTCTTGATATATTTCAGCTGTATTAGTTTCATTCAATCAAGCAAAATAAATTCTAGCTACCATAGGTCCATAATTTTTAAATGTCATTCCATGAAGGTCTGGCAAAGTTATTGATGTCAAAAAAACAAACTTTAACTGAAAACTTAACCTAATCCTTGACGACGGAATGTGAGATTGCTATGTGTCGCTTCCGCAGACTTGACAAAAAAACACACATCAATCATATAATACAAAATATCAAAGTATATTATAATATTTTAACAACTTTATCTTCAAACCGCGATATCATAAACATGCAAACTAGTATTTGCTGCAAACATACCTCAATTACACCGCTGTGACAAAAAGTTATCACTCCAATGTTATCGGTAAATCCTTGGCTGTTCAATTCAGCTACTGGTGTATAATGGTTAATGTGACTACAATTGCTGGTTACCTAAAGTTACAAAACCAAAAACAATAAGATATGTGAACAAGTCAAAACATGGAAAAATGCAATAAAAGTATCTACACTTAACTTTCTAAGTATTTCATTCTTGTTTTTCAAAATAAGTTAAATATTTACGTTTCGCTTTTTGTCTTTATCAAATATCAATTAAACACACTATTTCATGATAGTAAGCAATGCATTGTACCGAACCTCGAACCCTTTTCTCCATTTTGAGAACGAAGGAGCTTGACAGTGTTTGATCACTACTGCGTCTGATGAATTTCCTCCACAGTCTTTAGCGCTTTGGTGGTGTAATGCTTTTCCCACAGCAAGATCCATCAGTAATCCAAATTTATTGCAAGTATGCTCTATAAAAAAGTCTAAATATATTATTGATGGAAATAATTAATAAACCTTATTTTAATCACCTCTTTAGAAATCTTCATTCTGCGGTCAGTCTTATAAATATACAGAAGATTACATATATGTAAAACGTGGCGATAGTATTTAAATGCAGTTTTGGCCCCACGAATTGGAAAATGGAAACCATTTATCAGACTAATGAGTATCTCAGTATTTTCATCAATAATGCAAAACTGCGAAACACTTTCATAAAAAAAGAGGCGGAAGATCACAAAGACAGAAACAAAACTCACAACTCAGAAAGAGACCGAAAAACGCTTAGCAAAAATATCGAACCACGGCGAAAAGACAACTATCTTCGAAAACTTCATAAACAATAAGGACTGAGCAACACGAAGCTCATAAGATAAAAGACAAAAGATAATGCTAGCTATTATGCATTCTTCCTGAAAAGAAATTAGAATGTATCTTTTGTAACAGGTTTTTGGAATTTAGAATCCACATCTGATTCACACCGCTCCTAAAGAACGAATTTCACAGTAGCTATGGAGCTCGGTTTTGATTGCTGGTAAAAGAGATATTCATTATCACTGATAATGCAGAGTATATTTTGAGTTTCCAGGTTAATTTTTAATACCTTATTCCTTTGATAACATATTATCAATACTTAGAAATTAGCCATGTCTCTACCCAATATATATTTGGTTAAAAGATATATTCAAAGACGTTTATACGAATTTAATTTATCATGTATATATGAGGGCAAGACCTTGGCTCATATCTAAATATTAACAAAAAGTTCTCCAAACATCCTCTATGACAATTTTGTAGTTTTGCTTGATATGAAACAAGTTTTAAAGCCGTCAGTCACAAACTATTTGTATAAATTGCAGTGGTGGGGTTAATATGACGTCATAAATATGTTGATATTGACTTGTTTTATCACTAAAGGTAACTTTACACAAAAGAGTCCAGTAATATCATCATAATCATATAATCATACAAGAGTAGATAGAACTAAATACTTCGAAAGTAGGTTTGAATTTCATTTGTTTTTCAATTTATGGAACCAAATGATGGCTCTCATTATTAATTGAAGACATTTAACACAGGAATTAACTTGATGACGATATGTATTTCGTCCAAAAAAGTCGAATAGATGTTTAACATTTTCGAGCATTGCTATGTTTTGTATTTACTTTAGTACCAACAAAATAATTTGTCTATCTACTCGAGCTAGTCCAGCAATATTTGACAAAAAGGTAGAAAAATGTCGATCTTTACGTCTTGGTAAACTTGCAAACCCTGTATGTTCAATCAAATATTTGCAAACAAGGTACATTCAAGACAAACCTATCATTTCAATTGTTTTTGATGTTACATAATGATTTATGTTGTTGGTATAAGAAGTGTTGATAGCGTGCACGATGAATATTCATTATTCTAAATATGAACACAAGGAAACTGATGCTGCTATTTGACCACCATCGAAGAACATTTAGCATTTGAATTATGTACGCAATACATTGTTTTGTTTATAAATGTTTTGTTTGTTGTTGTAAATTAAACAACTGTTTTATGTCCTTTTTGATATTGATGTTCCATAACTTTTATTTCTATTTAAACAAAATCAATTCAGGGTGATGTATTGATAAGTCGATTTCGGAATAGTTCTTGCAAAAAAGTTCGTAGTCATCGATAAACAATCAAGGCTTTCACATTCGATTTGTCTCACCAATTTTTAATTAACTTCTCTGCTTTAATGTTTATTGGTTGATTCTTACTCAATTTATTTCAATAAATTATAATATTTTGTTTTTGTATTTTCTTACCGAAATAATCTTAGCATTCCGTCTTTGAAAAAAGCGGAAGAAACCAAGGGGAATTTTTAATCTCATAAGTAAAGAGAAACTGCCAACCCCATGGCATAAAACGAAAGACGACGAAAAGATGAACAACAGGACGGCTGTCCGTAGTAAAGCAGAAACTGTTTAAGTTTCAAAAGATATGAGATTTACCACGAATTTCGGTGGCGTACGTGTTTCTCATCCTTTTTTTTTTGTGTAGTTGTTTTTGGACTGGTGTTTGTCCTTTCTTTGATTCCTTGCCATGGTGTTATCTGTTATTCATGGACATGGTATTATATGCTACCTTTTTATCCTCTTCCCTTTGGCTTGAACATATGTAAATATTTCTATTGTTTTTGCTGCAAAAAAATAAAACATCAAAGAAAAAGGATTCAAATTTTTATTATGGCGAAAAATATGTATACTAATTTATAATCATGCACTTACGCACTGTCCCTCGTTCTGTGCTCTCAGTTGTACCTAAGCAAATATAGTTATAAAAATGATATAAAAGACATTCAATTTGGTAATACTTAAAGGTTAAAAGCTCAATATCATTATAGATCCGACTTTTCGACTAAACATTTGATTATTAGTTTATAGCTTAAATATATTTTCAAACTCCATTTTATTATTACTGATACAAAAATTAGAATTAAAATTAAATTAAAAACAATCAAATTAAAAACAAAATCAAATAAAACAATGTGATACTTTTTCAATGCAACCATGGCAACGACTTTTTATATTTATTTAAGTAAATTAGCTTACGCACAGCTCCGTGATCTTGTCTTTGTGTTGTTGCTAAACAAATATAGATACAAAAATGATATGAAAGACATTGGTAGCATTCTTAGGGTAGTGCAACAGAAGAGGCAAATAATTCACAATTTAAACCAAGAATAAATAATTGTAAGACATCGACATTATCTAAACTTCGTTTTTCTTATTACACAAATTTCAATGTTTTTATTGTCTTCACAGCTTAGTATATATGTCACAGACAATAAGTCCAACAAAACAAGCTTTACGATGACCAAAAAGGAAAATCTGCATTACGAAAAACGACATCCTACAATGTAGTACACAAAGTGTTAAACATTAAGCAATAATTAAGAACCCTATCTAATTGGTGATTTGCCCTGCGACGGCAAGCAGCTTCTGCACTACTTATGGCACGAGTCTAATTTCTCATGGCAAAACAATTCAGAAATGACTT